TATGAAGGAGACTTTTTTGCTGGATTGGGGATTATTTCCTTTGTTGCATTTCTACTCGTGGAAAGCTGAAACTATTAATGCACATACTAGGGGGCTGAATGCATGTCCTGCTGTCTTTGAATCGTGCTTCTCCATTGGCTTGCTGCACTCTTCCAATCTGTCAGAACAAACCAAACACACTGATCCTTTACATTAGCCCTGATTGAGTTTCGAACTCGAGTTTGATGGGAATTTGCAATTGTAAAACTGCCTGCCGATGGTCTGGCTATGGAAAATATTTCCCCCTTTTGCATGGATACTCGCTGAGAAAACATTTTCAAACGAAAATTTTGCAACAGGGGGGAAGAGTGAGTGGCATCAAGCCCCATTGTCATGGCATTCCCATTCCCCCCATTTGCGGCCTGGCGGGCAGGTAAACATTTTAGATAAAACCGAATAGCACTTGCACGAGTCCTTGTACTCGTACGAGAATGCACAATTTCAATTCTAGGATTACATGCCAAAGTCCTCTCTCATTTCCCACTCAGGCGGCAGTCTGCAGTCAGCAGTCGTTATTCAGGGTTTCTCCTCTAGTGCGATTTTGTAACATGGTTTAAGGCCACAATCTTCATCTTGGCCCTGCAATTATGCCCCGAAATTTGCGCAATTATTATGCAACAAGTACAAAGTATTGTCTAGGGAAATGTACAGGAGGCTGTTCGAACTTCAAAGTGTGTATGTGGAGGCGTGTTGGGGCATGTTATGTTCTTGGGGGAAATGTAAAATTTGAATTACCGCAGAAGCGGAGGAAAGGACTTGATGTCAGCACCAGGCCACACATGCCCTTCTCCTCCTACTCCTCCTCCACCTCTCTTTCTCTAGCTCTCCTTGAACACATTTTCCACTTTGAAGCCAAAAAAGCAAAATGTCTTTTGGGAGCCCCGACGCCACCACCGTCAGCAGCAGGCATGCAGGCAGGCAGGCAGGCAGGCAGGCAAGCAGGCATCGTTGAAAGCTTATAAAGTGCAACAGCATTGCGGTAGAGGCTGCTCCTTCCTGCTACGTGACTGCCCTGCCAATGCACAACAGGAACGGGAACGGGAAGGGCGAAAGTGTGGCAAGAAGTGCGGCGAACAAATGTGTGGTGTGGTGTGGTGTGGTGTGGGGGCCGCCACCGCTAAGCGCTGCTGATGAAGTCGCGTCCAAAATGCAGCGTTGCAGTTTGCCAAATTGAAAACACGAAACTAAAGGTGCTGACACGGCCAGCTCAGTGACAAAGCGACAAAGCAACAAAGCTATAAAGTAGCCGCAAAGTTAATTTACCCGAGCACCTCCCATGCTACCCGCCTTCGTTCCTCTCTGGTTGCCATCGTTGCACGCACATCATGTAATCGGTACTTCCGCTTGCAAAATGGCGCGCACACACTCGGCACACAATGTGTGTGAAGAGAGTGTGTCGCTCCGCCCCAGGCGACGCGTCGGCCACTAATTCTGTAATTTCAAACGTGCCGCCCAAGTGCACAACTACAAAGTCCATGGCCCCCGACGTCTATTTATGGTCAGCATGGGGCCTCCAGAGCAGTGGCAGTGGCTGGGGCTGTGGCAGGTGTTGCAACCGCAGGCTCTGTGCCTCCGTCATTTGCATGTCCCCAAGTTAACGGCTAATGACGTGGTGCCTTCATCTCTCCTGCCACGGACACGAACACGAACACCAACACAAAAACAAACAAAAACACGTTTGTGGTGCACTTTAATTAAAAATAACTACGACTGCAGAAGTACACACACAATTTTTAATTAAGAGAAATATGAGTAGAGCTCTTCGCTCTCTACCTCTGATTGCGCTGATTCACTGGTTGCAATTTTAAATAAATATTTTACCATTTAATTTGAGTGTCGGCCACACAGTAGACATTTTCACTAATTAGTTTATTGTACGTGGAGTGCGTGGTGCGTGGGATGCTGCTGCTGCTGCTACATTTTATCCTTAATGAAATCCTCTACTGGATAGCTGTTTATGCTATACAGTCCCTTCCACTGAAACCCCCATTCAACCCTCACCTCGTACATACGTATGTATGCATGGGAAATATAATCATCCCGCATGTGGCTAGGGCTAGGCTTTCCTCCATTTTGTATGCCCATGATGGACGCGATTTCCGCTGCTCATTTCCGTTTGGATGTGCGTGACCTGCTGTACGGAACACGGAACAGCATACATGCCCCACCCACCCAGGCACCCAGGCACCCACCACTCGAGCATAATTTGCCCCGCACACTAATTACTGCTGTCTGTATTAGGGAACCGTCTATCTACTCTCTGCTGCTCTGCGGAAATTATGCAAATGTTGATTTGCCTGACGGACAGGCATTGTCCTGACCAAGGGGCGTGGGAGTGGGAGTGGGGAAGGGAAAGGGTGAAGGGGCCTCATTGAGCCGCTTTGCGGCAGCTAAACGCTTTGGCAAATGCATCATTTGCATGGCTTTAATTGCATCTAATTGTTTTCATTTTAGCGAGAAGCAGAGAGTTATTTGCATTGTGCATGAAGTTGTGGGAAATTCCCACATGGCACGGCACCCACATCCACATTCACATCCACGCGATTACTTACTCGTAAATGGTATGTTGGAGTCATGTACTCGTACACTCTTATTCGTATTCGTGCAATTTCCGACCAAGTTGGTCATGAATTATACATGAAATCGCAGTCTACTTTGTTGATGAAAGAAATTTAAGTTGTTTTTTCCGATGGTGTGCCTTGTTCATAGAATTTTAATGATGCTTTGATGTTCATTAGGTATGCTTTGGATTCAATCAGAGTCTTTTGATTGATTGAGTGAGTGGAGAACAGTGCATAAGAGTGCTCTGAAATAAATTTATGGTTAATTGAAGTACAGTCACTTAGTCCTTTTAAGTGCACAATTCTGCAAGAGCTACATTCGTTAATGCCTTTTCTTTTGATCTTCTTAGCCCTCCATATGATATTTTAATTATTATTATTATTTCATTGAGTATATACTACCAATACTCCCGATTCAATGCCAATCCCTTCAGGGTCCTTGAATTCGCTTTTAAATTCCATTTGCCGCAACATTTTATCTAGTTAATTCTACTGCATAATGCCCTGTCCTGTCCGTCCTGTCTCTCAACTAAGCTGATAATCTCAGTTGTTTCGAGTTTCCAACTTAATTTTCGATTTATGGCAGTCAGAAGTGCAGCCCCCTTTGCCCCTACCAACCCTCCTTTGCGACTACGGGCTATAAAAACAAACAAAAAAATTTGTTAACCAAAGTGCGCATTAAACTCTTAATCTTTAGTGTTGACATTAAATTTACAACAGCAACTAAGCAAAGTTGCGAGAGAGGCAGGGACCAGCGACCAGAGACCAGGGACACACCAACAGACGCCCACAAAAAGCTGGCGCGAACAAAGCAATTTCCACACACACACACACACACACACAAAAGGAGTTCAGGAATTTATTACCCAATTTGAAATTGCAAACGAGTGCGTTATAAAGTCCTATGATGTTGCTGGGGTGCTGCCTCTTGGCTTTTGCCGTCATGGTTGTTGCTCTTAGTCTTGTGTTTTATTCAAAGCACCATTGTTTATGCCAGCAAGGAGGACGTGGGGCAGAGCTGAGCAGAACAAACAAGTGCAGGTTGCATGCAACGTCAATGGCGGTCAAGGTGCCCAACTGCAAACAAAGGACAATGGCAGGACACCATCAGAATATCCAAGCCAAGACATACAAAAGAATGATATAGTGTGGTGTCTCGACAATGTGATACCCGTTGAGTAGTGGGGCATCTATTTAGATTCAATAAGCACCTTTCGAAGAGTTTAGATCAAGAGTCTTTCTAGGACGAAATGCCTGGCGAATAGGAACATTTTTCCGCTAGTCTCTTGTCTCTCTCTATTGCCTAAATTAGCACAATCACAGCATATCGTACCCAGAAATTCGGGGGTGGTGTAATGAACCGGGTTTGGCATGTTAAGAGTAAAAACTGTTGGCACACTTTGGAGCTGGCTTATTACTAGAGGATCTGGATGGGATTGGATACTGTGGATGGGGGATGGCAATCTTAATGGCTTGAAGCTAGTGCCAGTCAATGCTGCGGGGTGTGGGGGTGGTGAAGCGGTTGTGGGTGGATACTGCAGCATGCGGCACGTGGCAAATGCCGAAAGTGATTCCATGCAAATGTCGAGGGCCATTTCAATGCAAATGCGCATGAATGGCAACGTTGTTTCACTCTCGGGCTCCCCCGCACCGCACCGTACCGCACCGCACTTTCATTTTAAATATTTTCCGCTCTACTCTGCTCGGAAAATGCAGTCGTGGCTCCCGATTCCCATTTGCATTTGACGTCAGCAGGAATCCTCATCCTCACCTTTGCCCCAGGCTTTCCTTTGACCCACTTTCACCCCCCCTCATCACTTTTGGGTGTTGCGGGGTCATAAATTTGTGTCCCATTCAAAGATTTAAATATATTTCCATTCCGCATTTTGGGTCGAGATTTTCAAGAGATTCAGCGAATTTATTGCCCCGCAAATAAATTCCATTTGAAAGAGTTTTGGGAATTGAAAGAGCAGCTTAAACCTATAGAAATCTGTTTGAGGGGAAGGCTTACAGATTGAAATGGGATTGAGCAATGAATGTTTATTGCATTTCCCAGAGTCTGAAAGTCTCTGAAAATTGTCATCATTTCATTAGTAATCCCATCATGAAAGCCCCTGGAAAACTTTCCACCAAGGCATTAATTTTTAAGCATCTGATATGGGAGTCGTGAGTTCTCCTAACACCACCCACCACCCCCCACCCCGTAAATGGCTGAGGGCTGAGGGCCATGCCCAAGCAGAGGCCATCTAGAATTTCGAAGCGATTCCCCTAATAGCAGCCGGCCATTAGACTCAAGTGGCAATGTGGCAAAGTTGCGTCTAAACTTTCCATTTTGTTCCATTTGACTAGCAGCTAATCCGCCATCAAATACTAACTTTTTCTCTTGTTTTTTTGTTGCAGGCTGGAAACTGGAAACAGACTGGAGGCAGTCTCTGGAGAAGAGCGAGGATTAACTGCTATAGGAGAAGGAGAAGGGGAGAGTATTTTTTAAGGCCATCAAAAGACAAACAAAGGGCCACGCCACCCAGACCCAGAGGACAAAAGGCTGGGGCAAACGTGCATGAACTGAAATCTGGAGGCTAACCAGGCGATGAGACGACTGGTCCATCAATTACCCCCAGCCACCACTCACCTGCCCCGAGTTGTCCATTAAAACTAAAGTGGAAGAGTGGAGGAGCGGAGGAGCGGAGGCGTCAACAACAGGTTGCTCTGGGGGTCGTCACATAAATCCCGCCGCTGAATAGGACCTGAACCCTGAGCCACATAAGTGGGCGACGAGTACGTGACTTAATCAACACACAGCAGGAGCATTCAGGAGCATTCAGGAGCATTCAGGAGCAGCCAGTAGTAGCCAGAAGCAGCTGAGGCCACTGAAGCCCACGCGGCTCAACGCTAACTAGGCGACATCCTGGCCATTTCGCAATGATTTCATGCACGAGCTCGGCCAACGACGAACACCACTGAGCAGCAGCATCAGCAGCAGCAGCAACATGACAGATGTGTCAGCGGCAGCTGGCGGCGCCACAGCTCCGGCGGAGACCGCCGCCACGTCGTCAGCATCCAAACCGCTGACCAATGGCGCCAACAAGACGTCAACGGCAATGGCAACCCCAACGGCAACGCCAACAACAGCTGCCACCGCAGCAGGAGCGGCAGAGGCAGGAGCTGTCGGTGCCTCGGTGGCCAGCACAAGCAATCAGGTCAAATTGGAGCACCACCACCGGCAGAGCAATAACAATCGGCCAGTGGTCCCATTTCCACACGTGCCCGCTGCCAAACCCGCTCCCGCATCTGCAGCCACTCCCGAAACCAAATTCAGGTCTACATCCCGTGAGTTGGACGCCGCCTCGAGGCCAACACCTACGAGAAGTTCCATCATCAGTCCCGGCATCAGCATTCATACCCAAACGATGCCGCAGGAGAAGAGCAGCGCCAAGCCGGGCATGTCCTCCGCCCAGCAGGATGTCGATGAGGTGGCTCGTCTGTTCGAGGAGAAGCCGGAGGCCTTCGAGAAATGGTTGACGGAGAGGGCACCACCCGAGGCACTCAGCCGCCTGCAGGAGTTCATCGAGAGCCGGAAACCGCTGAAACGGCCTTCGGTCACCTCGGATCTCTTCCAGCAATGGATGTCCTCCTCGCCCACAGTGCAGCAGGTGAGTGGGGATTTCTATAATGGATCGAGAAATGCCGCTGAAGGTGTGTTTTTATATGAGTACAGATTAGAGAATAGAGAGTATTAAAGGTTCTAGTATATAATGAAATTCTGTATCCGTTTAATGCAAACTTTTAGCCATGGTTCCATAGTTCTGATCCACGCAACACCTTGGCCGGCAGCGGAAGCACAAAAACTTTAATGAAAGTTGTCTTAGCACTTGTTCCATTGCAAATTAGTTTTCGTGGCCAGAACTCCTCCTTTTGCTCCTCTTCGCTCTTAGTCATCTCATTCATTCAAGCCATCAGACCCATCAGACTCCTTCTGTGAACCAAAATGTTAGCAAGTGCAAATGCAGAGCCAAGTGGCAATGGAAATGGCAATGGAAATGGCAATGGCAATTGCAGTCCGTCCGCCCAGGCACTCAACTATCTCGCAGATACACATTCACTGGGATGTCTGTTGGTGTTGCTTTATGTGTGTATGTGTATGGCTGTGTGGGTGGATGTATCTGTGTGAGGTTGTTTTATTTGCCACGATTTCCCTCTCTCTCTCTGAGTCTCTGACTCTGTTTATATTTGTATTTGTTTTGTTGTACTTTTGGCACTGGATTTCCGCTTTTATTTAACTTTTGTTCGCTTTTTGCAGAGCGAATTAACTAAATTGATATTTTCACAAATTTCTCTTTGGCTTCTGCTTGTCTTGTCTCTGTCTCTGTCTATCTCTGTGTCTGCCTCTCTCTTGAAGTGTCTGCGTGTGAAAAGCGCTAATTGGAAAAACTCACTCGCACACATCCCTCGTACCAATAAGGAGGCACTGATTGGGGCAGGACTTTCCACTTTGTTGCTTTTTATGGCTTTCCGCTTTTATTTAATTCAACATTAAACATTAAATTACACATGCGCCACGTTGGCCTCTACCTCCTGCATGGGGTGGGGGGCAGCCACCAACCAAAATAAAAGCGACTGTTTAAAAGCATTCGAAATATTTTTATGGTTTATATATTGACAGCATTCGCCGTCCCCCAGGTTTCCCGAAAGCGGGCGCATTGCCGTCAAGTATTTTTCAATTAAATTTTATTCGATATGTTGCCAAACTGCCGCTGCCAAAAAAAGGGGGGGGGATAATAAAAAGCAAAATGCAGTTGAAAATATGAGGGTTCGCAATATTCGAAAAGGGTTTCAATTGGGGGATGCAAAATGTACAAGTTTTGGGTTGTGGGAAGATGCTCAAAGATATTTTCATTTAAATTTGTCTGTTCTTTTGCTTGCTTATAAAGGAAAACTACTTTCGTTTATTTTGGCTTAACCAAATTTGTAGTCAGTTATTATTCCATTCCAAGTCCAAAGGCTACTTAGCATCGATTATACATATGTATTTAGGTACATACTCGTATTCATAATAAATTGAATGAACAATCGTTCTTGAAATAGCAATATACATATGTATTGTTCTTTGATTGTTCACCCACATATACTTGTACTTAATTGCCTATTCAATTAGGTGTACATCAGGGTACAGTTACCCATGGAGTCAATCACTCGTTATTCGTATACTTCTTTGCTTATTTGATTGCTCGTGTTAATGGCCATCATATTAGTGCTTGAACTCGAACTCGAGCACTCAATTGAACCCCTTTGACCCGTGCCAACTGCCATTGAGCCGATTATTGACTTGAGTCCTTTGAGTCTCTTTTCAATGCTCATTTTTCTGGAACATCGAATAAAATTATGAATGATCCGATCCCTTGCCAATGCCTTGCCAATGACATCAAGTGCTGTGCTGCTCACTGCTGTTGGCTGAACAGAAACAAAAGTCAACAGAAGCGCAAGAAGAGGGCTTCAGCACTCACCTGCCACTTGTGAAATCAAAACTATAAGGTACTCGTCCCACGACTAAGGGAAACTTCTCTAATACATACATATGTAGATGTGTGTGTGTTTGTTTGTGTTTGCTTTTTGTGTCGTGAAGAGGAAAACTAGGCCAAGCCAAAGTCAACTGCCAAGTGTCCTGTGTCCTGTGTCCTGTGCAACAAAGCCCACCTTTGAGCTCTTTCAGCGATTGTCAGTGCACTTTTTATTCCATCCTTTCCTCACTGCTGCCTTGTTAGCAGGTGAATAGCAGGTATACCTATATTTTTTTGTTTGTCGATATTGTCAATTTATTTAAGTGCATGTTACGCAATGCAAACTGCAATCCCTGGCCAGGACATTGGCAGGTTCTGGCCGCCAGCTGTGGCCCTCGTTGCAGTCAATGTAGAAACGGAATCCCCATTAAAATTCATTCCATTTTAATGCTTTCGCTTTCCTTCTGGCCAAAAACAAAAGAGCAGAACGAACATTTTTTCGATTTTATTGTCATCTCTGGGGAGCCCAAAATGAATACGAGTACATTCATTGCCATTGGCAGAATTTCAAATGTACTTAATGCTCTGCCTTGCTTTTATTTGACTTTTGTTTTAATTCTTCAGCATTTTATTCAACGAATTTGCATTGTTTTTCTTGTGTGTGTTTTCAACTTTCAATTCCATGAAAACAAATTGAAGATTATTAAACGCTTTTCGCTTTTCTTTTTCTTTTTCGTTTTCTTTGGATTTTCCTGCTCTTCTGCGAGAATGCTGCTTCGTCTGGTTCAGACACTCTTGCACGACGAGTTTTAATCGCATTTAATCGTTTAATTACTAACTCAATGCTTTTTTTCTTATTTTTTATCGTAGTGGTTTTTCCGGGCTTAAGAAAACTCTAAGTGCTCTCCATAAGCGGTTGAACTAGGGAAAAATGAGAAAAAGAACAGAAGAGATTATATTTAGTTTTTGTGGAGGTGAATATAACAAGGTTCAAAAGGAAGTCCAAGAAAGGCAGTTAAAAAAAAATAAACTTAAACTCGTTGCTAGATAATACCTACAAGTCACAACGACTTTCTACCTAACTTTCACTGAATCGAAACACGATTATTTCTCTTTCTTTAGAGAACGGAAAACCCCAGACATTTCAGGGCCAAGACCACAAACACTTGAATAAATATTCCGCCTAAAAGTGAGAAATATTTTCATGGTCGTGCCACAAGTCAAAAGAAATACATAACTACATTAAAATTAACCAAAAATTATAAATAAAACATTCAAATTCATAGACAAAGAGGAAAATGTAGGCAGCAGTTATTTGTATTTTTAAACGTACAATTATCGATATTCTGGTGCAATGGGGCACGTAGAAATGTTGATAGAACGAGGCACCGAAGCGAAAACAACAAGTTGCTTTAGTTTTCCAGTAGAAAATGATAGAGAAGGAGGGACAGTACATATGTATGTATATTGGTGGCGCTATATGATAGGAGGAGGTGGTGCCATAGAGCTGGTATACAGCGGGATTATGGAATGGAATATGGCCTAGTTCAGGCAGTGGATTGGTACACGGCACGCAACATTCTCGGTTCTTGGTTAATTGGCCGCACGCACGCAGGTCCTGGCCCGAAGTTGGAGTCCTTTTTGGGTATTCAATTACCAGGTTGTTGGGGACAAGAGCCCCACAATGTAGCTCAGAGGCAGAAACTGGCAACTGCTGCTAATAGACACCCTTTGAACCGGACAAAGTTAATTTACAGAAAGGAGCAGGAGCAGCTCCCTGGGTTAAATAGCCAGCAATCAAATTGGAAAAGAAAATATAGGAGAAGGAACAGTAACTCTCGCATATAATTAAATATTTAAAGCGACTTGTGTCTGGCCAAATAATACGAGTAATAATGCCAACTGATAAAGCTATTTATAAGGGAACTAATTAAATAGCGAACAGCAGAACAGCAGCTCAGTACAGCAGCAGAATTCAATTATTTCCCAGGCACGTTCCATGCCGTTCCCCGCCATTCCCTGCCGTTCCGATTGTACCGAATGTCCTCTGTGTTCTGGACGAGAGTCTGTCTAAGCCTTTCATTAATGTTTATTGTCTTTTCCTTACAGAAATCGCCGAGGAGCCTCTCGAACTCATCGGCCTCCTCTTCGCTGCCGGAATGCCGGCGCCATTTGATGGACCTGGATGAGGGTGAGCTGTTCATGGAGCTGATTCGCGACGTGGCCAATGAGCTGGACATCGATGTGCTCTGCCACAAGATATTGGTCAATGTGGGGCTGCTCACCCATGCGGATCGCGGCTCCCTCTTCCTGGCCAAGGGCACGCCCCACAACAAGTACCTGGTGGCCAAGCTCTTCGATGTAACACAAAAGACAGGTGAGTGATTCGTTCGCCTGTCCATCTCTGAATTGGAAATGCAATGCCATTTCCAATTGCCAATTCTGTTGTCTAGTGCTGGGTGTGGACACAGGTAATCCCGCCTTAATTAAGCTGAACAATGCACAATGGAAGCCACTGCAGAATTGGAAATATACTCGTAATCCAAGCCGAGTGCACACTGAAAACTAATCAAAATGGAATCGTATAGCAATTGCCAACTCAATCTGTTTAAATTTTCATTCACTAAGTTTCCTTTCGGGGAGGCAGGAACTTTTGTAAGAGGCAACCCATTGGGATGATTATAAATTGTCACTCATTAGCGGCCAGTCCGAATAATTTGTGGGGTAACGGCGAACGCATTAGCAAAATTGAGGCCCAAACGGAAAGGCATTAAAAGTTTTTGGCAGAACCCGAGCCATAAAACTGAAAAGGTCCCCATCAGATGAGAAATAGATGCTGGCTCGCACACAAACACACACACACACACGTACTCATGAGTGCAAACAAACACTCAAACTTATTCATATAGAAATGCGTTACATTCGCAATGAATCTTTGGCACAGAGCCGTGAGTAAAAGCCTCCGCTTCCGCTACATAATTCAATGGGGGAAAATGCGAAAAAGATTAGACCTGGCAGCAGCACACGCACACCCACACCCACACCGACCCAACCAAGGATATCCCAGATACAAAGATACTTTCAAGCGAGTGTACTGTAACTGTACCCCTCCGCATGTGGTCCTACGTGTGGGGCACTGAGATTATGATTTTGGGGGGCCAGCGTTCATGCAAATTCACATTTGACTTTTTGGCCCCCGGATTTCGGTGTTTAGATTTCTGCAGGAGAATAAGCTCCTCTTGCCTGCTACTCGTATTTATTTATTTATTATTTTCCCATTTTGGCATTTTTTTCGGTGGCTTCTTGGAACAGGCCAGGCCCTGTTCCCTGCACGAATATGTATCTCTTCGCATGGCAGAGTGAATATTTTGCCTATAAATTTAATATTTATTTAGATGCTTTCCCCAGCTTTATCGGGCCCTAAATACGGTTTGCATGGAACGAACTCATTGTGGGCTTTGGCTTTGCCTTTGCTTGGGCCCTGTCTATATTCAGTTTCAATATTAACATTAACAGTGGTATAATGCTCGTATCTATAAAATATTAAGTGTATCCAGAGCTTTGGCGCTCGCTTTTCCCCATTGATTTGGCTTCATTTGAGTCTCATTTGATTGCAGCACTCAAGGATGCGGTGAAGCGGGCCAGTGCCGAGGAGATTATCATTCCCTTTGGCATTGGCATTGCCGGAATGGTGGCCCAGACAAAGCAGATGATTAACATCAAGGAGGCGTACAAGGATGCCCGATTCAATTGCGAAATCGATCTGAAGACCGGCTACAAGACGAACGCCATCCTCTGCATGCCCATCTGCAATTACGAGGGCGACATCATAGGCGTTGCCCAAATTATCAACAAAACGAATGGTAAGCACTTTCGCCTCCACTTTGTCCATGGATTATGAATCATTGTTCGGACTCTAACTCTGGTTATCCTTTGCGTAGGATGCATGGAATTCGACGAGCATGATGTGGAAATCTTTCGCCGCTATCTGACTTTCTGCGGCATTGGCATACAGAATGCCCAGCTCTTCGAGATGTCCGTCCAGGAGTACAGGCGCAACCAAATCCTCCTTAATCTGGCCCGCGGCATCTTCGAGGAGCAGAACAATCTCGAGTGCCTGGTGACCAAAATCATGACAGAGGCCCGCGAACTCCTCAACTGCGAACGCTGCTCCGTGTTCCTCGTGGACCTGGACTGCTGCGAGGCGGTGAGTCGTGGTGTGGGATTCGGGATCCGATTTGTATGGATTTATGCAGGAATTTAAAATTTATTTACTCACATTTTTCATCCGCCCACCTGTAATTGAGGGTCGCCCACATCCGCATGACACTGTCCGTGTCCGTTTCGGTGTCCGTGTCGCGCTGTCAGTTTCATTAAAATTGCTTAAACGCCACCGCGTCGGCCATTTTGTTTGTATTTGTCAACTTTTGTCAACGTCAGTGGGCGGCAGTGGCAATTGGGTAGTGACTCCCACTGTGGCTGTGGCTGTTTCTGTGGATACGTCAGGACACCCCAAGGAAATTAAAATGTGCAATTTACATTATGTTACTTGGGGACACGACTCTAGCTGATGGGAGGAGGGGGCGGTGTTTCGCAATGAACAAGTGTCAGACATTACGTGGAATTGTGACAGCTCCTGCGGAGCAGAACAAACGGACAGAGATGGAAAATTATCCTCGAGTCAGGGCAATTTTCATTACGGTGAAAATTTTCTTGATTGCCTGTCATTATTTGCTGCTGTCTTTCCACAATTTGAGATGCTGCTCAGTCGTGTTAAATTGTAAATAAATCAACAGAATCCAACGACTAGGACAGAGCTAGAGGTACAGCGAGTCTTTAAATGAAGTTGAAAGCAAACAAAAAATATATGCCATAATAAAATTATTCATCTGGCAGAGTCTAACAGATCCAACTAGGGAATGTTAATGGGGAGGCGACTTTTTTGGGTATTAAATTGGACATTTAAGTATACAATTTTGTGGAATCTTTCGACATTTAAGTGCACTTCAGATGTTTCGAGTTTAGCTACTGACCCACAGACTCAAGAAAACTATTCAAAATATGTATCTGTGGATGCTCCCATGCATGTATGCATAAACTAACCAGAAGTTATTTTTGTAGAGCACTAATGAATATTTAATTTTTGCCGATGAGTACTTATTTGCACATGGAAAATCATAAACAAATAAATCTTGCAATATTTATTTGGTGAAATGAACAAATATGCATTTGATTATTTTGTGCAGCATTGCTTGGAACTCTCATGAATTTCGCTTTTGGATGGAATTTAATTAATAAACAATAATTGGATTGTTGTCGTACAGACACTGGCAACATATTCCACCTGGGGGACCGTGTGTAATGTCAATATCAAAGGATACTGCTTGCTCATACGAAATGAGACATTAAACTTGTGTATTATATTGTCTCTTATGGCCAGTCAGTGCCCCGGGCGAAATGAAATGAGAGACATTTTACTTTCCCCAATGTAATGAATGAATGAATATCATTAAATTGGATTCTGTCAGGGCGCATTCTGCTACATTAATTTATGACCTGCCTGCGATGCACAATTGCAGGCCATAAATAGTGAATTGTTTGACATTTTCATAAGCTAAACAAAAGCCACAAATTTCACGTAGAAATTGTTATTAATTCAACCAGAATTAGGTGATTGTGCGTGGCGTGGGGCATTGCAATCAGCCAAATTAAATGCCGATGATTACACTACTCGGTAATTGTTTCATTTTGGGGAAATGCCAACGCAAAATTAGCCATTATCTGCTGTCGGCTGATAATGAAAATGCATAATGGTCAATTTATTGGGCCATAAGGCCAAACGTGGCCCAAAGGGGGCAGGGCGGAGGGCAGTGCATAAGCTGCCACTGAAAACTTTGCTGACATGCCTGTCATGTGCAACATGTCAGCTTAATTATGCGCACTCTTGAGGGGGGTGTGGATCAGATAAGGCCTCTGGATGGGTGGCAGTGGCAGTGGGAGGCGGGCGGGGAAATGCAATTTATCAACAAGTTTGCCGCTTGGGGGAGAGAACGTTACGAGCTCCATTAGTGGCAGCCACTTAATGTCCACGCCCTGCCCTTGCTGTCCCTTGCAGAGCCATTTGGAGAAGATAATTGAGAAGCCCAATCAGCCGGAGCAGCGTCCCACTCGCGCCATCATGCCCGGCGACAGCTTCGACGAGAAGGTAAGCCTCACTGCTGACTTCTAAAGCATTCATCCGATTCTGATTGGAATCTCAATTCCCCTTTTGCAGCAGAAAATGCGCAACCGCTTCACGGTGCTCTTTGAGCTCGGCGGGGAGTATCAGGCGGCCAGTGTGTCCCGCCCCTCGACCACCGAGCTGAGCACCTCGACCCTGGCACAGATTGCCCAGTTTGTGGCCACCACCGGGCAGACGGTCAACATATGCGATGTCCACGAGTGGGTGCGGGAGCACAACCAGATACGGGCCGAGAGCGAGATCGATAGCACCCAGGCCATACTCTGCATGCCGATTGTGAATGCCCAGAAAACGGTGATTGGTGTGGCCCAGCTGATAAATAAGGTAAAAGAGGCTCCTCCCTCGCCTCCCATGTTCAGATGATTGAAAACCAAATACACTTCAATCTGCAATCTCCTTTTACCCAGGCCAATGGGGTACCTTTTACCGAGTCGGATGCCTCCATTTTTGAGGCCTTTGCCATCTTCTGCGGCCTGGGCATCCACAACACCCAGATGTACGAGAACGCCTGCAAGCTGATGGCCAAACAGAAAGTGGCTTTGGAGTGTTTGAGCTACCATGCCACAGCCAGTCAGGATCAGACAGAGAAGCTCACTCAAGATGCCATTGCCGAGGCAGAGTCCTACAACCTGTACAGTTTCACTTTTACGGGTAAGCAGAAACTTATAGAATCTCGACTCGGATATGTCCCTAAGCCACTTTCATTCTAGACTTTGAACTGGTGGACGATGACACTTGTCGGGCCGTGTTGCGGATGTTTATGCAATGCAATCTGGTCTCCCAGTTTCAGATACCCTACGATGTAAGCAATACTCGTAGTAGATCTAAGCATAATCGAACCTTAATGATGATGAGTCCTTCCCTCTTAGGTTCTCTGTCGTTGGGTGCTGAGTGTCCGCAAGAACTATCGTCCTGTAAAGTATCACAATTGGCGGCACGCTCTCAACGTGGCCCAGACCATGTTCGCCATGCTTAAGACTGGCAAAATGGAGCGCTTCATGACGGATCTGGAAATACTGGGCCTGCTGGTGGCGTGCCTGTGCCATGACCTCGACCATCGCGGCACCAACAACGCCTTTCAGACCAAGACCGAGTCCCCGCTGGCCATTCTCTATACGACCAGCACGATGGAGCATCATCATTTCGATCAGTGCGTGATGATCCTCAACTCCGAGGGCAACAACATATTCCAGGTAAGTTTCAATCATTTAATAGAGATTTTACTTATCATAGTGCTTAGCCACGGAGGACGCGGACCTTGTTGTTTTTGGCCCGAAGATTCCTACGGTTCGACTTTGTGCCTTTTCGGGCATTCACGCGTGCCTTGCGACCCCTGGTGCGGCTACTCCTGGAGCTGGACGATGAGGTGGTGCTGTCAGATCCGAGTCGTATCTTCCTCTTGGCCGTGTACTTGAGATTGCTGATACGGACAATCTTTTTGTTGCTGCCCGAAGAGGATGAGGAGGCTGTGGTCGTGGATTCCGTTGTGCTTGTAGTCGCTTCCGTGGTGGTGGTGGTGGCGGTGGAGGCGGTGGTGGTTGTTGCCGCTTCCGTGGTGGTTGCTGCAGCTACCGTGGTGGTTGTTGCTGAGCTTGTTGTCGAGGTGGAGGTGGAGCTCCCTGCAGCGTTCACTTGGGACACATAGAGCACCACAGCCAGGCCGAATAGAGCTAGAGACAACTTCATCTTGGATATTTCAGCTATCAAATGATATACTTACTGCTCCGATAGTGTGCCTTTTATACTGTCCATAAGACAGGGGCAAACTATTCGAATGAACCTTCGCAACAGCAAACAGAGCAGAGAAAAAAACCTTACATATGGCCAAAAGAAAAAAATTCACCTTGATCCCAATGGTCTGAACTTTTAGCTTCACACACGAGTCTGTCGCATGTCGTCACTGCTCCAAGTGTTTTGCAATCTAATTTAGGAATAGAATAGTCGTAGCAGCTATTTCTGTGGTTAAGTTTCTCTCACTCGTTGGCAGGCCTTGTCCCCGGAAGACTACCGCTCCGTTATGAAGACTGTGGAGAGCGCCATTCTATCCACCGATCTGGCGATGTACTTCAAGAAGCGCAATGCCTTCCTGGAGCTGGTCGAGAATGGGGAATTTGATTGGCAGGGCGAGGAAAAGAAGGATTGTAAGTGACAACTGTGCAAAGTAAGCCACAACCAAATGGATAATGGGATAATGGATCTCTTTTCAGTGTTGTGCGGCATGATGATGACAGCCTGCGATGTCAGTGCCATAGCCAAGCCGTGGGAGGTGCAGCATAAGGTGGCCAAGCTGGTGGCCGATGAGTTCTTCGATCAGGGTGATCTCGAGAAGCTGCAACTAAATACTCAGCCAGTGGCCATGATGGACAGGTGAGTGGGCGATACCTGATATCCAACAGATGATGATAATATGATTCCCATAGGGAGCGCAAGGACGAGCTGCCGAAGATGCAGGTGGGCTTCATTGACGTCATCTGTCTGCCCCTGTACCGCGTGCTCTGCGACACCTTTCCTTGGATCACGCCGCTGTACGAGGGCACCCTGGAGAACCGTCGCAACTGGCAGGATCTGGCCGAGAAGGTGGAGATGGGCCTGACCTGGATCGACCACGATACTATCGACAAGCCCGTGGAGGAGTTTGCCGGTTGTGCCGATGAGGAGATCAAGGACATTGAGTTCACGGTGACCACGCTCAACTGCAATCAGCAGGCGCAGCAGAATGTGGCAGGTGCTGGCGGCGATGACAGCCACACGCCGGAGCATCAGCGGAGCGGCTCTCGGCTGAGCATGAAGAAGACCGGGGCCCTGGGCAAGGCCGTCCGCTCGAAGCTCTCGAAGACGTTGTACAACAGCATGGACGGCTCGAAGCCGAAGACCTCGCTGAAGCTGCTCGAGTCGCATGTGAGCGAGGACATGGACGACAAGAGTCCGACGAGTCCCTCACAGCCGCATGCTGGCGGTAGCGTGGGACGCATGTCCGCCTCGTCCTCCACCTCGTCCGCCGGCACAGTGGTGGACAAGTCCAAGAAGCGCTCCAAGCTGTGCTCGCTCTTATGACGAAAGCCCTCCAATTAGAATATGGCGACCCCCTCCAGCACCTCTGGCAGTGAGACTGACAAGTGCGGAGGGGGGCTGACAGAGTTCTAATTGGAGAGAAGATCTCCAGATCTCACCAGAGATCTCTGAGTGTATTAACTCTAGGGTACCCTACCACACTCTAACCTGTAGCTACTACTATTTGTATGTCTATAAGTGGAAAACTATCCACAATAACCCACAATACCACATACCACAAGACGAGCAGGAGAACGTTTCGGAGGAGTAGGAAGAAAATGCAGTTGCAATATTAACATAAGTGAATGTCAAAATATGTGATCTATTTAAGGTCCCGAAGGTGCGAAGGTGCGAAGCCCACGCGTTGAACCTTTAGGTGGTTACAATTACACACTCTCTCTCTCTCTCTCTTACACACACACACGTTCTGTGTCCCTGTCGCTAACCGACTCAGAGCTCTAGTTACCCTGTAAGCTCCCAGTACTCAAGTAGATGATGGATCAATTCAAGTATCTCAATGTATGTATGAGTGTATGTAGTTCCCCTAACCAAATCGTGCTAGTCAAACGTATGAAATACTATTTACTATACCTACACATAACCTACATACATATAACCTAACCTAAATAAATTTAAGTAGAACTTTGTAAGTGTTTAAGTAGCAATTCGTGAGGCTATGCGAGATCAGGCATCGATGTATCCCTAATACATAACTATGCATGTGTGCAAAACTATAGCAATATTATATGATAATAATTATCCCCCACGCCACGCCACCCCACCCAAAAAAAACACACAAAAACAATGGAATGATTCCACACTCGAATGTGAGCACAGCACAAATATTGAGAATATCAATACCAAATTGAAACTTAGACACAAACAAAAGGCGTACGCAAATTGTTCTTAATATTCATCGGCAATCCGTTTAATTGTATAAATAGATATACGCGAGTACGAGTACGAGTACGAGTACTCGTACATAAAGATAAAGATAAACATAAATATAAATACATATGTATGTATAGACGCCAGTCAATTTTTGAACTCGAAACTCAAATAAAATACGATACACTTGCACACTCGGTAAATATGAATAATCCGATCGGTCCCACACCTCTTCTACATATTGTAGTTGTTGCAAAGAAGTTTACTTTATCTGCATGTGTTTGTGTACAGAGCAAACTACATACATATACGAGTATGTATAGAATATGAACGAACTATGTATGTATATGTATAGTTAAACATGAATGGACATATTTATACATACAATATGTAACTACTATTAATAATGTGTAACTACAACTGAATTGCTTAGCGTTACAATGTTTAGGAGCCGCCATCTCACTCTCATTGTTTTCCCCATTTTTCTGCGTGTGCTAAGATGGCTTGCTAAAGATCAAATTCGAATTCGAAATGTTAAATCAATAAACGAAACATGTATTTTTCTAGTTACTCTGCCGCCGCCGCTCGCTTGAAAATCAAAATCCAGACAACTTTACGAATAGCTATTCCTTTTGTTTTGTGACTAATTAATTGTGTATATTTCATATTCATTTCATTGTTGATTGTTTCTGTACCTAAGAACTATTCACCTTTATTTACAATACCTAAATATGTAAGACTTGCAATTGAATCAAAAATAAATCACACAATTGAGAATTATTCTAAAAACGAAACGTATTAAATTATTTGTCCCGTGGATTTCAACGGGAAGCTATTTTAATTTGTTGCACCTTGTTCTTTATAATTCTGTATTTCTGGGGCATTATAAGAAGAGAAGATATTTTTATACCCGGTACTCGTTGTGTTAAGGGGTAAAGTATATATATTCTTGATCAGCATCAATAGCCGAGTCGATATAGCCATGTCTGTCTGTCCGTCTTGATGGGAGCCTAGATCCCGAAAACTATGAAAGTTAGAGCAAACAAATTTTGTATCCAGACTTCTGTGATATCAAACTGTTTCAAGTGTGTTTAAAAATTTCTCCCCGCCCCCCTTTCGCTACCTCAAAATACGAAAATCTGCATCCACAATTATCAGATTGTCAAATCTGGATCAGATCGGATTATTATTATACTTAGGCGGAATGAAGAAATTAATGTTCGGTTGTTAACCCAACCCCTTCCAGTGCTGCAGCGCTACTCGTTCGCTCTCTCGCTCACACACTCTGCAGTGGGCGATCTCTGGCTGAGAAGATGCTGAGTCTACGTTGCGGATGTATATACAAATTGAAGATTTGTAAAAAAAAAAAACAAAAAAATGTGAACAGATATAAATTAATCGAAATTCCATGTAAGTCATAAGCTCACATGTATACTGACGGAGTACGGTATAAAAGTAGAGTCGCGGCTATTGCAACGATTCACAACGTTCTCTCTCGTTTTTATATCTATTGAAACTAAATTTCTTTACAGCGAAATTTGCCCTTTGTGGAAGTCTATCGAACAAGAAAGTTCCAGTTTAGGACATTCACAGCGGCCAGTGATGAGAGCTGCAGTATTGCAGGTTCTTGCCAGAACAGGGGGATGACGGCCACAGCAGGAGCTCCTCCTCTGAGTATTCCAACTGGAACTATGACGGCGAGGTGGTCACCGATTTGGTCATAAGCATGAGGTACATATTGCCTTTTGAGATTGCCTCCAACTTATGCTAATGATCATCCCTCTTTACTTTCAGATCGCATTGCCTGATTACCGCTCAAGAGCGGCACTACCCGCTCAACGCGAACCAGCTCCAGTGACAATGTGTAAAAGAAGCTTTAATTATAAATTAATCTAAACCTATACCATTTGGCCGTGACAAGAAGCTGTAGTTTTGTGTAGGTTTTTGTATTTATTTGGGTGTCAAAGGAAACCATTTAACTGATATTTTAGACTGGATTATGGCATCTAAAAGATGCGCCAAGCAAATGTTTGCTCATGTTAAAAGAAATTAGATTAAACCTAAATAGCTTGGCGTTTTTTGATCGAAGGCAAGATTAAGCGACTGGACCATTTTGTCATAGTCCACACTGTCCAACATCTTGAATTGCGATAGCTTTCGCCACACGTACAACAGGACTTCGTAATCTGGAGAAATCATTAGTCGCTTAAGAGCCTGAAAAATTGCAATTTTTTAATCAAAGACACTTGATTAGATATTTAAATTACTTACCTTAATGGCTCTATCTCCAATGGGCTGCTTTGTATCCAAATCTATAGATGGGAGTATCTGTATAATGTTTACATCTAAATGCAACAGAAACAGCAATCAAATTATCTACATTTCTGTTGGGGCTGGGCACCTCTAAAGCGGCCTCGTCAAATATCACAAACTGCGAGCCAAGGCCCATGTAAGTGTTTGGGTAATTCAAAAATGTAAAACGGACTGGAAATATGTATTGCGGTTGCTCGCACTGGCCGTGAGAGTTAGATCCTGTTAATGTGTGTTTGTGTGTGTGTTTTGGTATGCATACTGTACATAAACCGTTTACAAATTTGTCGTCGCAACTAGAGCTTGAACCAGTTGGACTGCGGAGAGGGTTTCCTACGTCGAGCAAATGAGGGTCTGAAGACACGGCGACAGCCTCTGTTGAATGCAGTTGTAGAGAATGAGTGAACAGGCAGAGATGGTACTGTTTCTGATACTGATTTTATTCAACAAACTTAAATTCTATTTATAGGTAACAAAAGGTAGTCTAGTAAGAATATGGTAAAAGGGAATTGAAATTAATATTAAATTAATTTGGAATTAATACGATATTGTGTTATTGGGCAATTGTGATAGTCAGTAATTGCACCAGCGTTTTTGCCCTCTGAAGAGCGATCGCATCGTTGGCAGAAATTGCTGCAGAAGCGGTTATTGTTGACTTAGCTACAATGCTTTGTCGTTTGTTATTATGTCTCCCGTTACATGGGTCGACCTGGCTTATTCGATAAGTGTATATTATGTAATATTAATTAATGCATAAATATGCGACTGAACAGATCCAAAGGCAATAATCTTAAATCCTGTGCTTTACATCCGCCATCAGCTTGTAGGCCGTCAAGTCTTTGGTTTTGTTTACTCTCTTTAGAGTAATCTTGAATGGCATTTTCAGGGTAATTCCGGGATTACCACCAAAATGACTCATATCTAAAGCATTGGTGTAAAAATGTACATTATGAAATAAAGTTTAGATGCGTATAGAAAATAGGTATAGAAAAGAAACAACACTTACAATTTTCCTCCAAATTGGACAGCGTCCCCTTGAAAATAGAATCTATTTCGTGGAATGCTTGATATATTTTCTGGGCTATTTCTTCGTTATCCTTGGAATCGAATATAGTGGGCATTGGTAATGTTGCCATATATTTTGCAAAGGCCTCATTAAATTTAAGCAACATCTCGAAGATCTTCTGCGTTCTGACTGGCTAATTGGATGTGAAAAGTTGCACTGAGCGGCGATTATAACGAAGCGCGCTTATATATCAGGTAGTCGAAGTGAATTACCACTATACGGCGCTCCAAAGTAGCAAGGATCCATCCGCATGGCTGCCCACACGGATCTGAGCCAGCTCCTGGACTCGGTTACAGAGGATGTGATTCAACTGGAAGAGGATCACAGCAATCTGTTGGGGTTGGGGAATTCCGATCCGATCCGGATCCCGTGCCCACCGGCAAGGAGATCATTCAAAAGCTTCTGCTTGACATCAATGTGAATCTGAGCCAAGTGAGTGCCCACGAAATGGAACACTTCTCATAAATGTTCTGCGAAAATATTGTGTGGATTGTGTGTTATGTGGAGGATTAAGCGGTATGTGTGTAACGCACAGAGGAGAACATTTTCGACCCCATAAAGTATATATGTGCATATGTATATGTATAGTACACATGTTGTTGATCAGCATTAGTAGCCGAGTCGAGTCGTCCACAATTTAGAAGGTACGTTTCAAAAACGATATGTATATCCGCGCAATGTTCCGTTTTGCATGCTGTATACCTTGCCTGTATCTATAGTATACATTGTATACTAATTGAGTGCCGGGTAAAACGTTCTTTCTCGTTTTTAATAGAGATCTACAGTCTCGACGGCCCCTAAAAATCCTAGGACAGTAGGTCCTTTACCGATCTGGCACTATTTAGCTGGGATATAGTGGCTCGTAATGTTGGCTATGAAACTTATTAAAATATTGTTTTTTTTTTATTTTCGCGATTTATCGGCTGAACAGCAACCTATCTGGACGTGGCATGTCTTTTTCTGATTTCAGATTCCTTTGTGGAGCTATGTGAAAATATTTGGCACCGAACAAATATCTATTTTTGGACGATTCATTAACGTTGATTAAATTTTTCAAAAATCGGCATCATTTTGGTGGTCGAGATTCTTATGCCGATCGACAGTCTGTATCGTCCTGTTTCCCGAGATATGGACCCCGAAAGTTTGACTGTTGAAATCTTTCAAATCATGATTCTATAATTCGCTTGGATCCGAATATGTATAACCGTTTCGAATAACTGTTCCGTATAATTTGATTGCATTACATTTGGTTTTTATTGCTTTCGAATATAGATAGATATACTCGCCCGTTAATGTGGATATCCAAGTAGGATTATCCCTGTTTTCGGCGCTGGTTCAAGACCCTCACAAGCGAACGGTTGCGAACCCTCAAGGTCCGTCTGCCCAAAGATTTCCTGCTGCGAGTGCTACTCACAGTGCTGCTCCTGTGAACCTTTACCCTCCGTTTTGACGAATATTTCAGTCCGCTAATACGGATTCTCTTGCGATGAACCTTAGATGCAGCAACGGTTGTCGCCGCCGTTGTAGTTGTAGCTTCAGTTGTAGTTGTAGCTGCAGTTGTAGTTGTAGCTGCAGTTGTAGTTGTAGCTGCAGCTGTAGTTGTAGCTGCAGCTGTAGTTGTAGCTGCAGCTGTAGTTGTAGCTGCAACTGTAGTTGTAGCTGTAGCTGTAGTTGTCGTCGACGTCGCGGTGCCAGAGCCGGCTGCCGAGTTTATCATCCAAATAAAAAGGCTTACAGCCAGGAATCCTCGTGCCAATTGTCCCGTAGTCATGGTGGTGCTGATGCTTGCCGCTCGAATGTTTTGCCCCTTGGCCGAGAGCCTTTTTATATTCCTCGAAGACAATCGGATTTGCTTAGCAAATATTTGAGTTATGTTTTCGCAAATTACGTACTTTGACTATTTAATTTGACTATGTACTTTTACTATGTACTTTACTATGTACGGGAATTCCTGCGCGAATATTTTTGGCATATTTGCGCAGTCTGGAAGCTACACAAAAGAATATGGTGGAATTTTGGGAACTCTCTGTTGAAAGTGAGCGCTATAAAATTATATGTTAAGTGCTGTGCTGGGCTGTCTATAATTAAACATTCGCCGCACAAGAGTGGCCCCATCATATCTGGCGGTATTAGGTCTAGAAAGTGGAGTTTAACCATCGACAGAAGAAAGAGCTTCGGACACTATAAAGTATGATAATAGTTCGATATAGCCATGTCCCTCCTATAATTTTAACTATGCTTGACGCCTAGATTTTGTGAGCAGACTCCTGTGATATAACACTATCTTGTGCTATGCACTTTCGTAAATATATGACAAATCAAATCGTAAACAAAGAATCCGAAGTGATTAGCCTAAGTCACCGAAAATCGTTATGATCGTGAAAATTCAATGGTTTTGTATTGCTTTGAAAGATACATACATATGTACATAAATATGTGAATTGTTTAGCCCCGATTACGCCGCCTGTTGACAATCCTCGTCGAACGTGCCCGTGCCCGTGCCCGTGAACGACTACGGTTGCGGACCCTCGCAAGGACCCTACTCCTGAGCAAACGGTTTCTGCTGATAGTGCTTCTAACAGTTGTGCGCCTGTAGACCCGGATCATTCGGTTTGACGAAAATCTCAGGTTGCTCACACGGATTCTTTTGCGGTGACGCCTAGATGTCGTTTTGCTTGTGGTTGTGGTTGTAGTCGCCTCCGTTGTTGTAGTTGTAGTTGTCGACGCCGTCGTTGTGGTGGTGGCCGCTTCAGTCGTGGCTGCTGCTGGAGTGGACGCTGCTGGCGTGCCCGCTGCAGGCGTACCGGTGCCAGTTACCGCGTTTGTCATCCAAATACAGAGGCTCACAGTCAGGAGACTCACTGCCAGTTGTCCCGTCCTCATAGTGATGATGCGTGGTGATGCTTCTTTCTGCTCTAATCTAATGTCTTTCCCAAATGCCATGAGCCTTTTTATATTGGAATTCAAAGACAATTGGGTGATTTGCTTAGCAAATATTGGGGTTATGTTTTCGCCAATTAAGTGCTTTGACTATGCTCGGATGTTTGAACGAGTAAACGTGTCTGAACGAATATTTTGGCCACACACACATACGCGGCGGACTCGTATTTGCGCAGTCTGCTAGAATTAGCTGGAATTTCTGAACTTGCTCCAAAGAGCTAAACCCATTAAATTAGATATTAAATGATGCGTCTTATTTTTACGACGCTCGGTCTAAAATTAATCAGTCGCACAAGTCGAGAGTGTCGCCAACAGACGTTATCCCGGCTGCCGGGCTCCCTGCTCCTCCTGGGCAAACATCCATTCCATCCGTGGAGTGGATCCAACGCAGACCAGACCTCGTGCTCTGTTGCACGTTGTCACATAAAACACTGCATAATCAAATATTTGCCTAGGTCCAACTGTCACTCGACTCTGCTGACTCGCATATTTGCCTGTGCCTGACATATTGGCCATGCGACTGACGGTGATACTCTTACTCGTACTCTTACATCTCTTACTGATGCTGACTCTGACGCCGATGACGATGACGATACCTTACGCTTTTGGGTTGCGTGGTTGCGGTCTCCCGCTGAGGTTTACCTAAGCTGTTGCCCTAGAACTGGATGGGCTGGCTAGCTGGCTGGCTGGCTGTCTGGCCTATATAAGTCGAGGCTTTCCTCGGAATTGCTCATTCGAAAGTTGCAGCTCTCCCGTACGCTGCTTCAGTTCTGTTCCGGTTCCTGTTCCTCATTGCCCTGGCAATGGCTCGATACGCTTTGACTCTGGCACTGCTCTTCGTGGCCCTTTGCTCCCGCTGCGAACTAGCCCGGAGCATGGCCCTGCCGGACGAGGAGCGATACGTGCGCAAGGAGTACAATCGGGATCTAATGGACTGGTTCAACAGTGTCGGACAGCTGACGCCCAATCAGGGTGTCCCTCTCTGCCGATATCCATACATTACGGACAACTCTCTGGCCATTCCCACCAGAAAGAGAAACTCGGAGATCATCAACTCGCTCCTGAGTCTCCCCAAGAACATGAACGAAGCGGGGTAGTACTAGTTGGAGGTTGGGCTTGCTTTTGATGCAATGATTGGATAAACGGATATTTATACACACGCTGGCACCTACGGACAAATCTGGAATACATATGCTAATCGATCTAGAATGTAAGATGTTTGAGTAGTTTATCTGTTTTTGCTTGTAATAGGGGCAGCGTTTTTAAGGACCTTTCATTCCTATGTATAAGCGATGTATTTTTAGGAACTTGTAGCTCACTTTGGTCGATACGGATCTAGGGAATAACTAACTAACCAACTACATATATTGTTCTATATTCGTATATACGAATATACTCGTTCTTAAATGTGTAGAAAATATATCAAATATATAGCTACTATCTTTAGGTGAGCAAGAATCGACATATCTTTATTATTACGAGCAAGTGGAGTTCTTCATCCACTTGTTAATTTGCGTACACTATTATATTCGCATTGGTGCGTCTCTTGTGGACAGTTTTAACCTGCTTATTGTTCACATGTTTTGTCACATGCTTCGTACGCACAATTGTCGGACTGGCTGTGGTTGTGGTCGTAGTTGTCGTGTCCTGAGCAGAAGAGGACTGAAGGAGGCAGAGACTGGCCAACAGGAATACTCCCAGCAGATAGATATTGAACTTCATCTTTTCGCATCGAAACCCCAGATGTTTTGAGTCTGATTGAGTCCGGCCTTTTATACCCGTACTTTCCCTGAACTTGACAATAAAACCGTTGATGATAAGCAAACAAGTACAAAAATGTGCACCAAATTTCGCACCACATATTTCGTATGTCAACACACATATTTGCTAATAAATTGGTGCTAATAAAATGGAAAGGAAAACAGATTGTCTTCGTTTAAATGACGGTAATATATGTATATATTTCCTTATAAGCTAGACAACTATGTTAATCCATGTTGCGGAATTGTATTTAAATTGAACAGTTCTTCGCTTGTCGATGGTTAAGTTCATTTGGCGCTGTCTGAAATCGTTTAGTTTAGTCGTATGATACTTTGATATAACTACATATAACTATTTTTGCATGTTCTGTGGCTGCAACGCACTTACAGAGTTGGGACAAGCGAAGGGTTAGAAGTAGTATGTTCTTATGTATATTTTTAATTAGAAAACAAACAATCTGTTAGACAATGGTAACCATATCTTATGCTGCAACTATCCCTTGGGCGCAAAATGCAATTCAGTAGCTTTTCACTTACATGACTAATGCCTGCTAATGCGTAAATACTATCTAACTGGCTGTAACTCTGCCTTGGCTAACCATTAACTCTTGTTATTTAAGGTATGTCGTATCGTATGTGGCTGCAGCAGAGACGGGTCGTCCGCGTTCCCAGCATACTCATGACTAAGTCGCATGCCTCAAAACACGAACTAGCCGCTGTGGTGCCAGTCTGCGGGGATAAGATATCGTTTAATGGGGTTCAACAAATTGATATAGATATACTCACACACATGTTGATATAATATAAAGCTTTAGCTGATTCCACAGCTTTTGGATATTTGGAAACACACACACGCACAAGCATACGTACAATGGCATTGACTTTTTGCTTTCTAATTTTCGAAACGGATCCTTCTCCCTTCTCCTTGTTGATGCTGTTGCTATGGTTGTTTTTGTTGGTTGATCTCACATGAAAAACTCATTGGCTGAATGGGAAAGCGGAAGTCACGTTCGCCCAGGACGATCGAATATTGTAATCTCTATGACGCGAAGACCCCGAAAGGTGGGATCGATCAGCTGCAGTCCCTTCTGATGGTAAATGCGCTCATTCTGGGAAGCCACAAATTTGGATATCTTACGAAGGGTCTATGGGAGATTCATACATTAATTGGGGATTTCAAATGCATCAACGAGTATCAACGATTAAAACACCTTTTCGTAGTGCGTTTCGGAGCACATGTAGATCAAGTATGCAGTGATGCAGCCTATACAGCCTTCACAGTAGGTGCCGCAGGAGCCCTCCTCTGCCTCGGCATAAAATTCGTTTAGCCTATTGATGGTAGACTCGAAGACGTGTCGTTCAATCTGCAGACCAGAAGGGAAAATGTATTTCTATACAGAATTTCTAAGTGCAGTCATACGTACAATACCCTCCAGTTCTGTGGGAAGCCTCGTGTGAAATTTGACGGAGGTGCCGACGCTGTAATCGCGCTGAATGAAGACCTTGCTGAAGACAACGCCCCCGCCAGCTGCCTGAAGTGCGGCCGCGTTGCTGCCCGCTGGTGTGCCACCGCCTTGCGACATATGTGTGCCTCTGAAATTGGTAACGACTGCGTGAATAAACTCCTTCTGCAGTGCGCGGTACATCTGATTGAGCGCAATCATTTTGCCACAATTTCAGACAACGAAGTCCCATCACAATCACAGCTGCCTTGCTTTTTCCAGCAGGCACTCTCGAATCTGTCCAGGACCCTGGCATTTCGCAAGGCCAGCTTGTGTCTCACCTGAGTATTGCGTGGAAGGTAAACGTTAAGTGCTCCCTGCAGTTTATTTAGCTGCCGTTTGTTAGCTTAAAATTGTATAAAAGCTAAAGTTTGCAAATTAGAGGTGTCCAACCAAAGAGGGCACTATCGTTAGTATCGATATTTTGCTGCTAGCCTCTACTATCGATGGTTTTGAGACTATCATGATAGAATCGAGCTACAGTCGTTGCGGTTTTGATATGTTTGGATTGGCTGCTATAAAATACGAAGACATATTTGTAAACAAATCGACAGGTAGCATCTAATTTTTACAATGGACAAGTTCCTAAAAGGTTTCAATGGTTTTTTAATATTTATTTGAGCCTGATAATATCACGATAGTATCGATTGTTTTTTCAAAATATGCAAAACTATCAATGACTTCAATCGTTTGACAGCTCTATTGCAAATTGCTAATTCTTGCAGTGGAAATCAGTGTGACCGCGGACTTTTTGATAAAATATACCTCGTCTAGCACTCTAACATATATCGCAATATACCAACAAATTGATTCTATATCGCATCGCAGGTAGTGGTGGGCGTTTCTCGATACAAGTAATATCAGTGGTGGACATTTTGCGATACAGAAATGGAGCTGCCACCTCGGAAATTAATCGACAGAGTTGATACCGATATTTACATACTTTTCGATATATTTCAATAAAAATAGCGCCAGATTTGAAAGAGGTTCGCGTGAAAGAAATATTCTTTTATTTAGCTCTTGGGGGCCGAAATACAAGCTTCTATATCGAATGCTGTGTTTTATAAAATATTTCCTCTTACACGTAGATACAGATAGCTGACGCCGAAGCGTAGAGATTTCAAAACAATTAGCCAACGCATTGGCGCTGGAAATATTTGCACAGCTTGATCGCTTATTTCATTCGACTGTGAATGCTTCTTTGTACATTCTATTTATCTACAAAAACTGTTTCTCTATTTTAAAAAAAATGCTGACGGTCATAAGTTAGTATCTCTTCAACAATCAACCATGAAGGCTGCTTGCACGGGGCTTCTGCTTTTTAGTATCGTCATCAATGCGCTTTCGCTCGGACCGAAGTCCTGCCACGCTGTGCCCATTGTCGGCGGACGGATTGTGTCAACCGTGGGCAGTACCTGGAAGTCGAATGTGCTTGGAAGACTAACTGATCCTCTCTCAACTTCCATTTAAAGGTAGCACCAGCCAGTATCCGTTTATGGTCTCGTTGCAAGATGCGATTGCGGGGAATGACACTGCGGGTCGCACCTATCGGCACTTTTGCGGTGGCAGCCTCATAAGCGACCGCTGGATCCTGACGGCCGCCCACTGTGTTTGGAGAAAGTAAGTGGGAGTATCTCGTACTATCATGACTATTCGTTTCAGTTTCTTTCGGTTTTAGGAACATAAATACCATTTATGCGTTTATTGGCTATGAGAACATCGAGAATGTTGATCTGCTGGAACCATTTGGTCTGGAGAGTGCCGAGTATATCTACTTTCAGCCGTAAGTAAACAGTTGAGTCAAGTTGAACACCCTCTTTATTTATTTAGAGAGAGAGAGAGAGAGTGGGTCGGCAGGCAAAGACCCGCTCAATGTCAAGCCATCAACTGATGGACTCTTTCCCATTTAGATCCAACTTCAGGAATGATATTGCTCTGCTCTATATGAGACGACGTTTCAGAAGTGCTCTGGGCAAGGACTTGCAATTTGCCCAGCTTCCACCTCAGGGAATGACCCCAGATAGGAATGGTATCGAATATTTACCCAGATTCTGGATTAGTTATTGACATTTCATCTCCTTAGAATCATGTCGAATTATCGGTTACGGAGCCACGCAGCATGCGGGCCCATGCCAGAAGCAATTATTTGAGGCCGAAGTTCGGGTGATTGGCAACAAGGAATGTCGAGATATCATAGGACACATCTGGGCACCACAGAATGGGGCAAACACGGTGTGTGCCATGGGCATTGGCCATCAGGACTCCTGCCAGGGCGACTCTGGGTAAGTAGAATCAGGCGTAAACCCCTTCTCCTTCGTTAACGTATTCGTGTTTTGAATGTCAGGGGCCCTCTCATCTGTCCATATGGCGGCAGGGACTATATCTACGGACTCGTTTCCCATGGTCTCACCTGCGGCATCAAGGGAATGCCCAGCATCTACACGGTAACCCGACCCTACCACGACTGGGTGCAGCTGCTGCTCCATCAGTCGTAGATCTCTGGATGTGACGTGTATATAAGCGGTTTATTATACGATATCAAACAGAAAACAATTACGAATATACGCTAAAAGAATGCAAAGACTAACAGCGAACTTAGAGGCTAGAGTACTGCAGTTAACGATACTTCTACTATACACTAAGCGACACGTAGAACTAACTAGCGTAGGACTAACTAACACCACTCACTCGCTCGCTCACTGCTTCTCTGGCTTCTCTGGCTTCTCTGGCTTCTCTGACTTCTCTGGCTGTGGTGCATCGGCGGCGGTGGCAGCAACTCTTTCGATCTGTTCAGAGAGCTTGCCCGTGCCCATGCCCGTTTCCGGCAGAGTGAGGGTCAGCAGGCCCGCTACTAGAACGCAGCAGCCGCAGATAGTCGTTGGAATGTACCAGCCGAGGGCCCCCAGGACATCGACCACATATGGGGCCGAAATGGAACCAACATGGGCGAACGTCGAGCAGGTGCCCAGGGCAGAGTTACGGATCTGGGTGGGATACAGCTCCGCCGTGTAGAGCGTGACCACGGAGTAGGTGGCACTGATGCCGAAGCGGCCCAGCATGGCGAAGGCCACGATCCAGGTGGTGCTGCCCGCGGGCACGGCGAGGACCAGCAGCAGCGAGACGCCCGTCCACAAGAACAGGAACATGGTTGTAATACGGCGACCAGTGAATCGCAGCATCACGACCGGCACCAAATACGAAGGGATGTCCACCAGGCCAGTGGCCACGATGTACAAATACCGACTCACCGAAAGGTTGGCCGCATTCAAAGCTATAGGGAAGGGAACGGAACTCTTTTAGAATCGGAGACCAAGGAGTGTTGCCGAAAGAAACTTCTCACCCGTCACATAGTAGCTCAGCGATGTCACGCAGAACATAAAGTAGGAGGTGAAGATCAGCTTGCGCACATTGGGATTGGCAAAGAGCTCGATGATGGACTTGAGTGGGCCATTCTTGAGTTTTTCCAGCAGCGAGGAGGACGAGCCACCTTCTGGTTCCAGCTGCAACGACAGAAAAAGAAAAGAACAGCAGACGATGATGAAGCAACATCAGGCTTAGCAACCAAGAATATTGATATGTTCCCGGAACTTTGCACCCACCGACTTCTTATCGGTGAGAAGGTCCGAGGAGGCGGTGACGGCCACCGTTGGCTGAATCTCGTAATGGCTGGGCTGCTTGAAGAGGATCTTGTAGACGCGATCGTAGCGCTGGTTCGTTATGAGCCAGCGGGGTGATTCATTCATCAGGCTAAAGGGAGAAGAGAGTCCAAGTGAGTTAGGTGATCATTCGGAAGGCAATCAATCGACTGCAATGTGTAACCTACTAGCAGTTCAGGATGAGGAGCAGCGAGGGTATGGTGAGGGCCAGTTGCAGGTGCCGCCAGGGCTGTATGAGGTAACCGATAATGGCCAAGATGATCATGCCAATGGGATAGGAGGCCGAGAAGGCAATGGACATCCAAGAGCGATGCTTCAGGCAAACGTTTTCCACAACTGAAACAAAGAGAATACAGAAATGAGGCAAACACTTTTGATATTGCAGCGCAAGAACCTACTCATGGTAAAGGCCGGGTAGAAGAGTCCCGAGGAGGCGGCTCCGAGGGCAAAGCGACCCGCCAGGAAGAGACTGTACCAGGGGGAGAAGGTGCAGAAGAAGCTGCCCACAACGAAGAAGGCGGCACCCAAGGTAAAGGAAGTCTTGCGACCGAATCTGCGGAGGATACCATTGATCAGCAACCTTTGGCAGAGAATTCCCCACCACTCCACTCACTTGTCTGCCAGGATGCCAAAGGAGAAGGAGCCACAGAACTTTCCCAGCGATATGGAGACCTGTGCTGAGGTGCGCTGAATACTCTTCTCGCAGGTCAGATCCCAATCGGAGACAAAGGTGCTCTCCGGATCCGCGTACTCGTAGCTGCCCTTCACCTTGCACGACACCTCCGCGGGCCTGTTGATCTCCGACATGTGGCTGGTGTAGTTGAGGGCCGTCTCGTAGGACATTTGGCTGAGGTGCTTGTAGTTCCAGTCCCACACCGTGCACCCGCCGGAGTTGAGGCCTCCCTCGGCTATGTGTCGCCTCTGTGCCAGCGTCCAGTTGGTGGCGTACAGATCGGGGAGGCCGCACCACTGATCCTCGGGCAGGTGTCCCAGCAGGGTGTAGGAGGAGACATGGAATCCGTTCAGTATGTTGGGTGTGACGCATAGGAAGAAAATGGCCCTAAAAGTGGAAAGGAAAGGAAGGGGAATGATTACTGTTTCCCCTGCTGTTGCTGCTAATGCTGCTAATTGGGGTTTTATTTTGTTTTCGCCGATCGGGCAGATTGTTTACATCACGCAACTTCAATCTTTCGCACATTGACACCACACAGCCGTAGGTGTAGCTGATCATCTAACACTTGATTGGAATGCAAATAGTGATCGTAATAGCCGATCCACAACATTAACTTAAGCAGTTAATGCCGCAAAACAAAAGCTGTGAAGGTTAGTTAGCACATGACACATTCACGTTCACATCCACAGTCGTATGCGGCTCACATAATAACAGATGTGGGGATCTGCGCCGAAAACATAAAAAATTTTGAAAACGGCAGCGTCATTAATCATTAACCCAATCGGGCAACCGGAACACAATGCGCATTATTTACATATCCGATTTGCCGATTCACGTGCCTCCACACCCACATCATACCGCTTACCCCACACCCCACACCCCACCCCCATGGAAGTGGGCTTAAGTTCCGGGAAGATCGGCCATCACTCGACGAAGGTGATTTTGGTTGAATGACTTTGAGAGTCCCAGTGAGTGCAATTGTCCTCTTATCACAGCTGGCTTTTTCCTAGGATCACAGTTACATGGCCCGATCTCGATCTACATAGTTAATGGAACCGGTACTCGCGCTATAGGCTATGCTATACGAGAGCTATAGATTGCGCTCACACTCACACTCCCGATCCGTCGTCGCAAGATCTCGGATTTCGATTCATGAGTGGCTTATCAATTCCATTCCGATTCTGATTCCGAGCTTAATGCGAATATAATACGAATAAATATATATGTACATACATATGTACGTGCTGATATATGTATGTATGTGTTCTCGGAATGGATTCTATATTTAAATTTTGAGCGATCACATGACCATTGCCCTCTGATTGAGCCCCACCCCCCACCACCACCTACTGCCTACTCCCTACACCCCTTCGACTCCTACTGTGATTCAGTGATTTCTGACCTACGCCTAAAATTAAGTCCAGGAAGCGGCAGGCCAGACTATTTTCCCATCCGAAACGTGTTCCATTACTCGACTCCAAATCAGAATCGAAACAAAATGCCAGTTGTTTCTTGGGGTTTCACTTGCAATGAGTGGTTCGTGAGTTGCTGACCAGTCAAGCGAAGTGATCATTTGATTGAAAGTGTTTCAACAGTGCACTAGAGAAGTGCACCACCCTGACTAATGTCAACGTTTTTCTAATAACTTAACCTTTAAAAGCCACCGCAATGCACTAATTAGGAAGTGGGTCAAGTGGAACGTGATTGAGGCACGAGTCTCTGTCTCTCTCTCAAATATGAATGCAAAGTGATCATTCCTTACCAGACGAATGCCCCGCCACTGCCAACGATATCCAGCTGCTTGGTGAGCAGATCCTTCATGCTCTCCTCGCTGATGTGCTCGCGTGTCTTCTCGGGATTGTCATCCTTTGATTTGGTCATGGTTAAAATATCACAGTTGGGATTTATGGGGATTTTTCTTTACTTCTTTGCAGTCCGTTGCTCTTGAGCTTGGACTTTTTTCTATGTTGGGGAATAACAACCGACTGGATGGATCGATCTGATCTGATCTGTTCTGATCTGTTCTGTTCCCTATCGATCTCTGCGAGTGCGTTCACTTTGAGCCTCTGACACCGAGTGCGCAGATAAGGTACGGTACCAGCAGCAAGGCGAACCTTCCTTCTCTTCGTCCGAAGATCCGACCGATATTCACTTTCACTCAACGATACGCTGATACGCTGCCTCGCTGCAATGCCTGCCTCGATTTACTGCTGGTTGCTTTGCTATTTATCTATGTCTTACGGTCTGTGTGTGTGTTCTATTTTCCCATTTGTCTTTATGCTCGGATCGCTGTTTATGTTGCAGCGGCGCACATGGGAATGAAAATGAATGCCACATATGACATACCAAAACAAAATGCGACACGATCCCAGTTCAGTTCAGTTTGGTTCTCTGTTTCACTGAAATTCACAATGAAATATAATGAATTCGGGGTTTTCTTATATTTGTTCAGGTCTTTCTTCTTTTTTTTGTCCGTTTCTTGGCCTGCTGGGCTGTGCAACGTTTTCTAATTTTGAATGGATCCCCGAACGCGTGCATTCGCCTTTCTCCTGCAGATGTCCGCCGGTGTCGCTATCAACTACTACTTGTCGCTTCGAAAGCGTCTCACAAACTAAGCCCACGGGAGGTCGATCGCAGTGTTTTTGTACGGCCGTCCGTCCCACCAGAGGAGAGAGAGATGGATGGGATGGGGCCCAGGCAGAGGGAGGTACTCGTACCAACACTCGGGCAATCGGGCGGGCTGGGACCGTTCGGCTCTCTTCCCGATCCATATACGATCTACTATATACATAGTATGTATGTTCGCTTTCTTTGGATTTCATTGCAAGCATTAAAAACAAGAAAGGAAGACAGCGACGGCCATATCGAAGTCATTGATACCCTACATATGAAATATGGTGGCTTGATAATGGTACAACTAATGTAGGAACATATTAAACGATTCTTACTTAAGTTTTAATTAAATTATCCAATGCATATTGGATTATTCTTATTCCCATTTAAGGTAGGTGATTCAGTGATCTTATCCTGATGGTTTTATCTGCATTCAGCAAAGAGAAAGTAAAGTTTCATCATCACATCTTAATGCAAGTAGTTCTCATTAATAAACGCGGATATACTCTTTTAAGTTTAAAACTTTAAAGTGGACCGGATCATAATAATATTTAAATCACGATTTAAAGCTAATATACTGAGGCAATTGTTCAATAGCAACAAATAGCACCCTTTGGTTTCAAATCCTTAGTCAAAAGTGCTCTTCCACTTTAAAAAAATTGGAATACCCTTGGGTAAAGGGTGCACAAAAATTAAATACAATTATTGAGCGTTTAAACGAATGTCAAAATGCGCACTCACAAATAAACAAATTTATTTCTGAATGCTACTCATATGATTAAGTTGAATGTATTTATGTGATTTGTGCTTTATATTTGAGCAACAAGAGTTGACTCATTTCGAGTTAAATCAATTACTAGATTACTAGATGATTGACTAATCATTTCATTCTTTAATGACAGATCCCAAAGATAATAAGATAGCAATTCGCACATATGAGTATTTAATATTTTGAAATTTTTTTGATATTTTGTTTCAGTTTGTACCCTACACACGTACTCCCACACTTCCCTCACTTCCTCCACTATATTCTTCTATTGCTCTTTGCGCAGGATTCTCATTATAAATGCGACAAGCAAAACATTAGAGATTACCCGCTCTCCACCTCCAGCGACCACTTGAGAGCCATATGTTCAGTTCAGTTCGTTCTTCTCCTTCCATATTCCTCCATTCCATTACATTCTATCTGTTCTGTTGGTTCTGTTCGAGGAGGAGGCTACGCTACCCGAAACCCATGTAATTTACATGAACGGAATTACAGTTTAATTCGTTTGTCTCTGCATATCATTATAGTGTTTTTTCCGTTTTCTTTCGTATTGTTTACCTTTTTATTTGGTTTTATTTTCCGAATTCCGAATATGTAGTCGAAGAGCGGGACACAATACTCGAATGTGTATACTACTCGTATACCATTCACTGTGTGACGTACAGAAAGAGTAAGTACAGAAAGAGTGAATGAATGTGAATGAGAATGCGAATGTGCACTCTCTGCAATTTTGAATGAAATGTTTGTATACAATGTGGAAAGATTTGAATCTCACAGTGAGCCGAATCGTTCCATAACTAGAACCAGAACCAGAACCAGATTTCTACGCAGTGACCTTATCGACTGATTCGATTTGGGTTAACCTCCATTATCATCCGAGTGGAGCTTCAAGAGTCCAGTCCTCAACTCTAGTCTCAATTGGTCTCAATGAATCAATCGAGCGACCGACCGACCGTCAATCACATCTACTATACCCCGATATCGTAAGCAATAACCCTGGCGGAGGAAGCTAGAGATTGGCATTGGATGAGGCCAATCCAGATAAGTATTCATACATATATTTTAATCATGGCTCTCTCTGTTCTGATACACTACTAATTGTTGTTCATTTGTTCGGTTCTCAGGCATGCAATCATCATCCTGTCCGTTTGTCCGTCCGTCCATTCGTATTCTATTCATCTGTGAAATTCGCACTACCCCGAGCGAATACATTCAAGAGGTTACCGGTTCCCTACTAACGGTTGAAAGTATTACGAGTATTGCAGCGGTTGAGTGGCCGTAATTAGAACTTTTTATGTTGATAGCCCGGTCGCATGCGGGATGCACATGGGCGTGCCACCATAGACAATTCGATTGTCTGGCTGGCCTGGCCTGGCCTGGGATTTGACTTGATTTTCTATTTGGAATGCATTGTTTTTGGGGATGGAATGCAGGTTTCTAACCAATATCCACTGACTCGAAACTATATACGCAGCTACGTCCAACAGACAATAAAATAAACACGCAAAACGAGTGCTAATCTAATAAAAGTCATCAAATTTACATACACATAAATCACAAGAACTACATATGATTGTCAATAGGTTTCAGAGGGTTGCTCATGCTGGAAAATCTATGACACTTGCCTACAGAAGGTCTTTGCTTTGGGACTATAGTTTATGTAGGTACCTTTTAAATATATTTATTGCTAAATTACTTAAGTGTGCTTAATGGTGTCCGATGGTTGATCATTTTCTTTAAGAATACAATACCTTCTCCTCCCACAGAGCGACGATAATTCATTTTTACGAGTATATTGTAATAAAGAGAGCGTTGGCGAGGCTTAAGTGAAAGATTGCCCAACGAAACGAAGACGAGCTGAATCGAGGGGAATTGTGCATGCTCGTATTAAATTCGTACGAGTAAGAATACTCGTATAAATCTAGGCGTTGCTAAACGACTAAATTCAATGAGCACATTGAGGAGAGGATAGGAGAGGAGGCTGCCGTGCCGCTGTTGAGCAGAGCTCAGACTTTAAGCCTCTTGGGTAGACAGATACACATACACATTCACATCACATTCACCTGGCAGTTTAGACACTTTAATTTCACATCTAGGCGGTGGAGAGGATGGCGTGACAGTAGCCTTTTTTGAGCAGCCAGATGAGGCCGAGAATAAACAAGCTGTAGAAGGTTACATTGTAGAGGTTGAGGCGGCTTAGCAGGCCGCTGAGACGGGTGGGGGTGCTGCTGCTTTCGTAGGGATTCTTTTCCCGCACTTCGATCATATCCTTCCAGCTAACGACCTGCGGACGGACCACAAACAGGGCATTGACAGCGGCCCGAACACCACTCTGGACGGCACCACCCATGAGGGTGCGATAGTTGGTGCCCACCGCCGAGGAGCTGGACCAGATAACCCGATGCCAGGGCGTCACCTGTGGCTTGTGCCGGGCCATGCTCAGCTCTGTGGTGCTCTGCCGATACTCCAGTGGGTTCCGCATCTCATCACCGAACTGAGAGGAGAGAAGGTCCAGGACATTCTGCCGCACACTGGCCGACTCCTGCGGAGAGTGCACCATGTAGCCACAGTACGTTGCCTGGCGGCATTCGTGGCCACACACCAGAGGCTTTGAGCTGAGAAAGTTCCCCGAGAAGCCCGCCTCCGCCCAGTGGCATTTGCTGTAGCTTAATGAGAATTGGGTGATCAGGCGACTGGGCTTGAGTTTCGCCTTGGGCGGTGGACAGAAATTCTTTGGTATCGGTGGCTCGAACTCCAGCTGCTGCACCTTGTTCCATGGAATGGCCAGGATGACGGCCTGGGCGGTGTACTTCTCCCCCTGGGAGTCTGTCAGCTCCACATAGTCCCTGAAGTGCTTTACACTGACGACCCGCACATTCTGGGTGATCGCTATGTACCCGATCTTCTCCAGAATGCTCTCGATCAGCTTCTGGGTGGAGAGCTCCAGGAAGGTATTCGGAAAGTTAAAGTAGCTAAACAGGGGAATGGAAAATGTTGGTTCTTTAGTGGATGGATGGATCAGTCTAGGATCGCTCACAAGTCTAGGAGTACGGCCAGGCCACCGCAAGAGCTGCACATAGACATGAAGGTATCGTAGTCCACTGCGCTGGCATGGACACCGGAGACCAGCTCTACGAAATTCCTCATAAAGTTGCGCGACTTGCTGAAGAACAAGTTTCTAGTAATATGACGCTCCATGCTGGGCACACGCTCCCGCAGGCTGCAAGGAACAAGGCGATAGCTGAGGGATCAATTCAAACCTGACATTCGCACCCACGTGAACCGCTTCGATCGAAACCTGCCCATCCGTAGGTCCAGCATTTGGATATATCGACACAGCTCGAACTTTGCAGGCAGCGCTGTTGGACCCCGATCCAGGGCCCAGCAGCGTTCCAGCTCCCCATTTTCACCGCGTCTGTGTTGAGGCATCATCTGCATGTCGTTCATAAAGGCCAGCATATCGTGTTGCTCCGCATCGACGAAGCGGATCCCATTTTCATCCAGCTGGCCACCGGGACGGCTGTTCTCGTCAAGGATCCGTATGTGGAGTGTTGTCTCCTTGGCCAGCAGCTTCACGGCCGATGTCAGGCCCGACAGTCCCGCCCCGACAATCACTACATCTAGCTCGGGCTGTTCGGTGCCAAAGGGTAGATGTTGATCCATTGCACCCTCCGTTCCTAGCCCTTACACCAGACAGGTGACACCATGATTTTTTTTGTCATATTTTTCTGTGTTGATAAGTGACAACTTTATCGTAGAGCACTAATTTCTGAGTTTCCCTTCAACAGAAAATGCTACCATCCATAGATGCTCTTTCTTTAAAACTGAAAATTATTTCTGCTCATGTTCGCCGTTTATCTGTTCGTTGTTTACAGTTTTCACAAACTGAACAGCTTAAGAGAATATGTGCAATCTGTTGCCTACTTTTGGGCGTGTCTTTTTTAATCGTTAAACACTGAAACTCGTACTCACCGAAATTACTCAGCAATAAGATACCTATAAATATGAATAAATAAATAAAAAATAAATAAAAGTGCAGCTGGTTCCAGGAACTTTGGAATTCATATAACATCAGGAATCATGATCAAATAGGAAATAATTTGAACTATTTTGTATGAGAAAAACAAACTAAGCAGAAACTTGACCCCTTTTAGCCTGCTCTCCATATCATAGTCTCACTTTATCACGCCTCGAATGCAAATTCCAAGTCGAACAATAAACATCAACCAACATAGTAGACAAATGACGTGTTCTGGGGCATGGATGGATGGATTGGATGGATGCCAATGGATGAGGAGGAACAGTAGTTGGCCTAAGCTCAACTTCGTTCAACTTTCAAGCACCTGGATAAACAATAGATGCGAATTCCACGCACGTGAAACTGCCAGAACTTGTTTCTATAGGACTTTCGCTTATCAATGTGACACAGTTGATAGTGAGCTATGCGTTTAATCTACGCGAATGATATATGAACGAAATATTATTGTAAATAAAATAATGAAACAATAATCAATGTTGACTTGAGAGAATGGGCGAATGAGATCGATCACCCACCTTCCATACTCGTATTATAAATGCAATCGTTTTGCGGTTGCACTCGGATGCGATTGCCTGTTATCAGTGGACGGCGACGACCGCTTAGACATATTTTTATGTACGTGTACTTATCGCCCGAGAAGTTATTCTTCAATAAACAAAGTTCGCCACAAAGTTCGCCATAAAGTTCGTTGCTTCGCAGCGAACCTTCAGCGCGCGAGTAGCAGATATTATTTTTATACCCAGAACCAGAACAGCTCGTAGAGAATAAACGTAGTGCACCCACATTGTTGCAGGTATATTTACTCTGCTTGTAAAACGAAACAAAAGTCGTGCCAGTGAAATGTGATGTGTTGCATGAATTTTTAAAATACTTTCCAATGGAATGAACAAAGCGGGGAATGCATAAATTCGTTGAAATTTCCAGATTCGAGGCTCAACTGAGGCCGGACCCCATCTGATTGGACTGTGTCAAGTAATCCACCTCCTCTTAGCTTTGATTGAGCATCCCTTTTAGCTCTTGGTTGGTGCCCCCTTCTGCACTGATCGACGGCTCCTGCTTCTTGCCAAAGTTCTCGCCATCCTCGATGGTCTCCGGCATGGGCTTGTTGAGCGTCTCGGGCAGCAGCAGCGAGAGTAGTCCAGCTGTCAGCGAGAGTGCCCCACAGATGATCAGCGGCAATGGCTGCCAGATCTCCCCGAGCAGCTTCAGATACGGCGCCAGTATGCCACCCACTCGGGCCACCATGGAGGAGGCGCCAAGTCCCACATTCCGCACCACTGTGGGGAACTGCTCCGCCGAAAAGATGTATATGGTGCCGTAGGAGGCAGTGATGGCCAGCTTCCCGATCATCGCGCATGCAACAATCATCCAGGTCTTGCCGCTGGGCACAGCGATGGTAAGGAGAAGACTTACTCCAGCGATTAGCATGGTCCCGCACAGGATCGATCGCCTGCCCCAGCGGTTCAGAGTGAAGAGGAGGAGAGTGTAGGCGGGAATCTCGACGGCGCCAGAGATCATAAAGTTGAGCAGCTGGTTGCCCCCCAGATTGTTGGTGTTCCACGACAGGCCGTAGTAGACGCCGCTGTTGACGAACCAATCGAAGAAGATGAGCAGCGTCTTCCGCCGCAGATTCGGATGCCGCAGGAGGTCGAAGACTGTGGCCGCCGGCTGGGAGGCCGTTAGGTTATCCTGTTTCTTCTTTTCGGCCACCTCCTCCACCAGCTGCTCGTAGATCTCGCTGGGTATCTCCACCCTGTTCTCCTTGGCAGCCTTCTCGATAATCACAAAGGCCTCGTCCTTGCGCCCCTTGAGCAGCAGCCAGCGCGCGGATTCCGGAATGATCCAGTAGTAGCAGATGAAGAGGAGTCCTGGCAAGGTGAGGGCGATCTGCAGCCAGCGCCAGTCGTGGATGAAGTAGGCAAAGGCCGCCGTCAGCATGAAGCCCACGGAGAAGAACATCTGCATGGCGACTCCGGCAAAGAGGCGATACGAGGATCCAACCATCTCCAGGGCGATCACGTAGGCCACCAGGAACACGCCCGATGTGGTGGCGCCCACAATCATGCGGGAGATCGTATAGCTGAAGTACTCGGGCGCCACGCCAGCCAGCACTCCGAAGATCAGCTGCAGGATCAGCGAGGCGAAAAAGGTGGGCTTGCGTCCCAGCTTGTCCGACATCTGGCCAAAGATGAAGCTGCCCAGCAGGACGCCCAGCATGAAGAGGGAATCGCTGCTGGCGCTCAGCAGGCTTCTATTGCACACCATGTCCCATTCGGTGACGGCGCTGTTGAGGTACCTGCTCTGGTCGTAGAGGAAGCCCGCGGAGCAGGCCACGGTTCCGTTCGTTGTGAAGGGTTTGCTGCCATTGAGATAGTCCGCGCTGTAGGTCACATTGTAGTACTCGCAGGTCGAGGCCTTGCCGGTCACACTGTCAAGGGGATAGGCCAGGTGCCATTTGTCCAGTGGCAGCGACGCGAACTGCACTGTGGCCGCATCCTCGTGCGGCAGCTGGCAGCGGAAATCGGGCTTGGCCAAGAGGAAGACCCCAGCGAGCTTGTGGAAGGCACAGACAATGGCCGGCAGACAGAGCAGATAGTAGATCCGTTTTTGGTAGCGACCGAATTCGCCCAGGTGCGTGATGACGTCGTCGTATCCCATGCTGATTGGCTCTGGGCCACGTTAGTGGCTATTGGCTTGGTTAGTGCTTGAGTGTCGTACGATTTGTGGCGCGCTTCAAGGGTCGCGCCATTTAATGCGACGCCCTGACGTATGAGCAACTTTGTCTAGCGTGGCGTTGCGTATACGGCGAGTGCGCCCGCTTGAACCCGTTTTGATTGTGCAACAATCCAACTGAATACTTGACACACAAATGAGGCAATGCTCTGGCTGCACTCTATAGCAGCTCCAGCCTCCGTACACACTCTGAATCCGATGTCAACGAATTGAGATGGCAATTGCCGATGCCGATGCCGATGCCGATGTGGGAAGCGCTCGATCAACCACTCGCCAGCTGCTTCAGTCAGAGACTAAACACAAAGAGCTGCTAAATGTTCTGAAGAACCCAAAAATCGGCTCTACGACTATCAGTGCGGGTCTGTGTGAGTGCGTAAGAGTAGCGCGGCGACTCTCACGCTCGTCGAGCAGTCACCCACCCTGTGAGAAATTCGATTGATCAACGATCGGCCAAAGAAATTGAAAATTCAACCGAGATTTCAGCAGAGGGGATGGTTGGCAGTGAGGGAAGAGGCAGCAGCTGCATTCCCAGTAACGTACGATGCGATGTTTGTTGGGCAATTAAAGGCGTCCCAAAAAGAGAGACACAACATGAAAATGGCCTGATTCAGAATTCCAAACATTCTGCAGGCAAACAAAACAATTCATATTCTCCTGCTCATTCACATGTAGGTAGGTACACATATCTAATATAGTATTTATACGAGTATCTATGTATCTACATATGTATATGTTGTATTAATTGCTCTTCTTATGCTATCTTAGTTCTCTTAGTTTCACTCTTTCGTTTGGCTGCTCTTCGATTTCCGTTTGACTATCAGCTTTTGTGGGGGGAAGGGGAATATCGAAAGAGTTATAGCAGTATGTCGAACCACAATGTTGCACTGAAACAGAAGAGCCATAAATAGAGGACCGACCCACATACCCCTATAGAGAGAGCGTCATCACGTAATTAGATCAAGTGCAAAGCACTGTCAAATTGTAGTTTCTATTGTGTGTTGTGTGTTGTGTGTTGCAAGGTCAGATCCATACAATTTCTCGCAGTGTACTCTACCCGCCTAGCACTCTAGTGATTAAATATTCTATTCGGGTCTATTCTTGAAATATCAGTCTCGTGTCTTGGCTGCTGATAAGAAACCTGTTTCGGAAATAAACACAGCGGAAACACGTGTCATACCATAATTTGAGTAGCCAACCAAATGGTCCGGCCCGTCCGGGTTTATGTGGGTCAAAAATGTCCAAGATATACGATTTCATGGTACAGCCTCGTGTTTAGGTATTGCTAGAGGAAAAAGTACAACAGTTTTATTTGAAAATCAATTTCATGGAATACATGGAAATGTGTACAACTTATAATAGGTATAAACTACACAGCGGCATGGGAAAAGGAGAGTTACATACATATGTATGTATGTGCTAAAACACCCTTAATCCATTGAAGCAAACCCTACCTATGCCGCCGCTTCCTGGTTAAATGCTAGCATAGAAAATTATCTATTTGGTCCCATCCTTTCATTCGTATTTTGTATTCTGTTTTTCTGTTTACTGTTTTCTGATTTGGTCTGCGTGTGAGATTTCTGAAATGATATAATACTTGCTCCATTCTTCTGCCCAGCCCAGACATCCAAAAGTACCCCTAACACTCCTAGGTACACCTAGTTCACAAGCTACCATTGGCCTCGTGGCCATTCTCCAGGGATCCGTTGAGGGGCTGCGTCTCTACCGCCTCCAGCGACAACTCCCCTTTGGTCTTCTTGCCGAAACGCTCCCCATCGGCAATCGTCTCCAGCATCGGCTTGTTGTGGGTCTCGGGCAGCAGCAGGGAGAGCAATCCGGCAGCCAGAGAGAGCACGCCGCAGACTAGCAGCGGCAGGGGCCCCCAGATGTCGCCCAGGTAGCTGAGGTAGGGTGTCAACATTCCGCCAATCCGGGCAACCATCGAGGCGGCGCCCAAGGCCACGTTTCGCACCACCGTGGGGAACTGCTCTGCAGAGAAGATGTACACAGTGCCGTAGGATGCGGTTATGGCCAGCTTGCCCATCATTGCGCATGTGACAATGAGAGCATTCATACCCTCGGGAATGACGACGGTGAGCAACAGGCTGAGTCCCGCCACCACCAGGCAGCCGCAGAGGATGGAGCGCCTGCCCCACCTGTTGAGCGTGAGCAACAGGAAGATGTAGGCTGGGATCTCGACGGCACCAGAGATGAGAAAGTTTAGCAGGACATTGCCGCCAAGGTTTTTCGTGTTCCACGAGAGGCCGTAGTAGACGCCGCTGGTCACCAGCCAGTCGAGGAAGATGAGCAGCGTCTTGCGGCGCAGATTGGGATAGCAGAACAGGTCCCACACGGATGGCAGTGGCTCCTTCTTCTTATCCTTATCCAGATCCATCTGCTGCTTGTCCGCCGGACCACTGCCCTCGTCCAGGAGCGCACTCAGAACCTCGGGCGTGATATCCACACGATTGAATCGCGCCGCCTTCTGCATATTGGCAATGGCGCACTCCTTGCGGCCCTTCGAGAGCAGCCAGCGAGCGGATTCCGGAATGATCCAATAATAGCACATGAAGATGAGTCCTGGCAGCGTGAGGCCAATCTGCAGCCAGCGCCAGTCGTGGATGAAGTAGGCAAAGGCCGCCGTCAGCATGAAGCCCACGGAGAAGAACATCATCACAAAGATTCCCGCATAGAGTCGCTTGGCAGGACCCACCATCTCCATGGCAATCACATAGGCCACCAGGAACACGCCCGATGTGGTGGCACCCACAATCAACCGAGAAATGGTGTAGGTGAAGTATTCCGGTGCCAGTCCGGCCAAGACTCCGAAGACCACCTGGATAACCAGCGAGGCAAAGAGGATCGGCTTGCGGCCGTACCTGTCGCTCAGCTGGCCAAAGATTATGCTGCCCAGCAGCACGCCCAGCATGAAGAAAGAGTCACTGGTGCCCGCCATGAAGCCACGTTCGCAGACGAGATTCCACTCGGTCACGGCGCTGTTGAGGTACGTGCTCTGGTCGTACACATACCGGTCGCAGCTCCGGGTGTTGTTTGTGGTTCTGGCCAGGCTGCCGTTCAGGTACTCCTCGCTGTAGTCCACATCGTAATACTCACACACATCACCAGGCGGATAGGAGATGTTCCACAGTTGCTCCGGCAGCTCGTACTGGGAGCCATTACCTGGCGAATCGTCCTCGAAGGGCAGGACGCAGCGGAATTTAGGTCTGGCCAGGATAAAGACGCCGGCCATCTTATGGAAGGCCACCGGAATGGACGTGAGGCAAATGAGGAAGTAGATGATCCTCTGGTAGCGCCCAAAGTCGCCCAATTTGATGATGGCCTCGTCGTACCCCATATCGGATTCGCGGATTCGATTCTATGCGTGCGAGCAGCTGGTGTGTACCGCTCGCGGGGCTATGATTCACACTGATGGGGCCGCTGGCTCTCGGGCTCGCTTTTTGGCGCTCTGTCTCGTGATAATTTTTTTTTTTTTTTTTGTTCATCAGCAATCCCCAAGCGAGAGGCCGCTGCTGCTGCTCATCCAGCGCGGCTATGACGGTGACGTGTACTTTGCTCCGGCGGCGGCTCGGACTTTGGAGACCGGCAGATTGCGTGGAATTCTCTTTAAAAACAATTATTGCTTGCCGAACACGTGTTCCTAAAACAAGAAAAGCCAACAACGATAGACAACGAAAGAGGAGGCCGAAACGGAACCACAAAACCGAAAGGGAACCGAACAGCGTAGAGCCAACAGAAAGGCAACAAAACGGACCCACAATTGGTATCTAACTGCTATATTTCATCAAACGCCGCGACCGGTGCGTCACATTTGGCAAACGGAACAAATATGAGCTGCGAGTCCAACCGGGGCTGCAACTGCAGACACTTCGGAGAGAAATATGGTACGAGTACGAGTATAAATATACAGAGAGCCATTGCCAACAAACACCATTCCGTTATACGTAGCTCTCTGGCCCTCAGATATGTTTATGCTGGCAACAGCAAAAAAAAAAAAAAAACAACACCTTAATGGATGGCCGTCTGGGCGTCGAAGATTTGCATACCCTTCCTTGCAGATCGGTTGCTATTTCTATGCTTCTATGCTTTCTAAATGCTTTTAGATATTATATTTTAATTCCATACAGTGTTACACTGGCAGCTATATTTATGATATGGATAGATATCAGTTGCAGCGGATTCCGAAAATGCCTAAATATGTATTTAAAAAAAAACTCAAAATTAGCATGGATATAATTTCATAACTATTCTGATAGAAATATTATCTAATGGTATGGGTTCGGAAACCATACCCTCTGTGAGTTGCCAACACCTGACCAATTCTATAGTACCCTCTCTTCAAGGGTGTACAAACACCGTCGAAATTTGATGAATTTTGCCGGCTGCATTCTCTCTCTGCTTTGCGCACACTCTCCACTTTGTTTTCTGCTCTCTTCTTATGAAATGGCTCTCTCTTGCCGGTTACTTACCGGCTTCACATTCTGAACAAGAGAGAGAGAGAGAGAGAGGGCAGAACCAATCACCCATTAGGCCCCCAGAGTGACAGAGACATAAAGCCAACCAGCCCCTAATGGAACGATGTTTTCGTTGTTTGTTGGTAGTAATATAACAGTTAAGGGACATGCGATACCAAGCCGATCCCTGCCACCACATACGAATGTGAATTTAATGAGCCGCAGCTGAGAACATAAGCCAGGTAATGGTAATGGAAATTCAAACAGATTTCTGTGCTCTGAGTGTGGACTTTCATCAATCAGCCGATCTTCTTGTCTCTTTCTCGTTCTCTCTGTTTCGCCGCTCAATTGATGTGGCAGAGACAATTAAGCGGGTCGGGTCGTACGATTCCATAGTCCCAACACCACAGAACTTCTCTCAATTACACTCAATTAATAAGCATAACGCAGACCCATTCCCAAGATATTCCCAAATCAAAGGCGGAAAATCGTACGATAGAGTGTTGAACCTTCCCTTTCCTTTTTTATTTATTGTGATAACTGATCAGAAGTCAGTAAAGAAAATCCAGCTTCGGGCTCCCAAGTGTTTGATACCCTGGCAGGTATCTTACGAGTACATGGGGTAAATGGTAGTTAGTATATGATATAGGGAGTAGTATTCCGATTTATGTACATTGAATATTGTTTCTTTTTGAGCTGTGTTTTATTATCATTAGAAACAATTCAGTTTACAGATCGTTCCTACAACAGCTTTATCATGTTTAGATCCGATCTTTTTAAACCCGTACTCAAAAAAGAGTTAAGGGGCATATTAGATTTTTGGTAAAAGTGAATGTGTGCAACGCAGAGAAGGACCCCATAAAGTATATATATTCTTGATCAGCATCAATAGCCGAGTCGATATAGCCATGTCCGTCTGTCCGTCTTGATGAGCGCCTAGATCTCAGAGACTATAAGATCTAGAGAAACCAAATTTGGTTTCCAGATTCATGTGATCTCACACTGCTACAAGTGTATTTGAAAATTTCGGTCCCTCATATATTTAAATCATTAGACATGACATATCTCAAAATAAATCGGACAATAGTTCTTCCATAGAAGAGCTTATGAGATATTTTTTACAGGGTAGATAACTATTTAAAAAAACAACATTTTGAAAAAGGTTTATAATAAAAAAAATGTATTTTTTGTATTGCATAAAAAATGTTTAATTATTATGTGTATTGAAAATAACCATTAAACTATCTTTATCGATGGATAAAACCAAAGTTATGAAAATGCAAAGGCAAATATGCACCGGAATCAAAGTTAAACTTTGAATATTTACTGTAAAGCTTTTAGACATTGTAGCAACATTTAATATTGCAGACTTAATTTTGGAAAATTTTCCTTTCAGATGCAGTTTATATTAAGAAGATATCTTGATTCGTTCATAAGTTATTAATTTAGCAAGTTGAAAAAGCCGAAGCCCTCACTGTACGACACTTAACTATTGCTCCTATACATACAAAAAATAAAAAAACAAAAAAAAAAGATCCAACTATAATTTTATTTTGTAACTATATCTTATTTAAAAACAAAAAAACTCTCAACATTGATAAACTTTGAAGTCTAAATTTCCCGGGGGTAAGCTGAAATTGCAAAGTGCTTGTATCCAATTTATTGCTGCATTTAAATTTGTATTACAACCAGGTGTAAGATACTTAAGTTATGTAAAATACCATTTTTTGTAAATCTTAAAAAAAAATCTGCTACAGATTAAAACCATTTCTCTTTTTAAAAAGTTTTAAAGCCCCAAAAAAAATAATGATGGAACGGGGCAGACGGATATTGATATACATATGCATCAATTAGGTTACACATCTGCCAATCTGGAATATAAAACTTCGCTCCAAACATCCATTCAAAATTAGCATAGATCCCCTAAAGACCTAATTCGTCTTCACGCATGGCCATTGGAACATTTGCTCGGCATTGTAGATCCATTTTGTGGCAGCTGTCAAAAAGTAAAAACCACAGAAATCGATCATTGATTTCACAGGAAAGTTTCGAAGGAAAAACGCACCCCATTTGGAGCCCACCAGCACCGGGCAGCCCCCATGCAAGGACCTCGCCTCGCCGTGGTAACTGCTATTCATGCTGTGAAAGACCAGAGCACTACCCTTTATGGGGGTGCAGGAAATCTCGAGGTAGGGAAACACCGTTTTGCCACCCTGCTCGACATCGTTCAACTTCAGGACAATTGAGGGCAGCTATTCAGATGTTCGGTTCTTATAGCGATATACTTACATAGAAGAGAGCTGTAGCTATCCTGTCGCCACGTTCAATATACTTATTATACTGAAAATCCATTATTAACCATCTCTAACCATCTAATTAAATAAATAAATACTCACTTTGGGTCCAAAGTAGTCCCGATGGGGCATGTACTGTCCGCCAGTGCCGTAGTTAATAATCAGCAACTTATCCGAGGATCCAATTTTTTCCACTTCGAAGCCGGTCATGTGCATCACACGCCGATTGACGGCTGTAACGGCCTTGTTTTGGTGATCGGTTTGGAAGGAGCTCGTTGAGGTGCGAGCGCTGTCGGATTTTTCCCCTTGTAGGACCAAGTTGTAGACTTTGCTCCGCTTTAAATCTGGCAGAGCATGACGCTTGAGCTCCTCAATCTCGCTGTCATAGATCACATCGTGATAAATGGCTACGTACGGATCCCGATTGAGGGGCTCCACTTTCAAGGGGGCCAGCCGCAGCACCGGATGAGTGTTAAAATCGTAGTGGCAGCTCAGACCTTGCGGCGGATCGAAGAGACCACGGCATCCCTGGAAATACCTCTCAAACTCTAAGGTTTTTCCTTCCGTTTCCAATTTTGTTGGCTTTAGATCGCCTCTCTCCATAAGCTTTAACTGACGAAGGACTCTCTGGTCGTCGGTTCCGAGGGTCAAAGTTTCTTGAAGCATTTGCAAAGCGAGCTCCTTTTTGTCTGCAAATACGTTGATCAGTGGATGGATTGATCAACAGATCGATGCCGATTCCATACCCAAGTTAAAAAGGTTCCTGGCATAGAGCTGCAGAACATGAGCCAAATCGAAGCCCATCACCCGATGGAGCTCAGCATTGTCGTCTGTCAGCCATATGGCCTCGAACCAAGCTTCTGCCCGGTCAAAGTATCGCTTCTCAAAGCCATTTCGGGCCAGGGCAAAACAGTCCATTGCATCGAAGCTTTTCGATCTGAAATGGAAAACGATTGTCAACGATGTACTAGAAATATAATTAAGTTTCCTCATCGATTCACTTGTATTGCTTTCCATTGATCAGACCACGGGAAAAGTCATCGACAGACAACCCATAGATTTCGATCAGAATGTATATAGCTTTGCAGGCCTCGTCCAAGTCGACTTTAGTGGGTAAATACGGTCGTATTTCTTGCACGTGGTTTTGCCACTCTGAAACATCAAGAAGCGATAATCATTTCAGCCATTTACGAATCGTATGCCATTCCATTCTGACCTAAGGCCACCTCTTGGCGCATAAAACGCAGCCACTGCGGCCAGTCCGAGTGCAGGTGTCGCATAAAGGAAAACTGTCTGATACCGTTGAATTCCTTCTCAATGTGATTCTCCTCCAGCTGTTGCACTTCTATCTCAATCTGTTTTATGGCGCTGAAAAACATCAATCTTAGCAGCGTACAGTTTAGCTAATTTTTCACTCACAGCTCAACTGCGTTCAAATTTTCTTGCAACATGGTTACATAAACGTTCAGATCGGTGACGAGGAATTTCTTCAAGCCCAGCAAAGAAACCATTTCGGCGTTGGAATATGCATAGCGACTGTTTGATTCACATCTGGCCATGATAGCAATAAACAATATAGACAAAATGGGCAGGAATCTTCTCATTTTACGTGCACTTGCCGCGAATGTGAAGGTACAAATACATTTTTGGCTTGCGATACTGATTTTTGTTAACCATTAACCATGACTGTAGCCAATGGATTTTGATGGGCATAATGAGTCCGTCGTACAGATACTTTTCGTGCCATTTCTGTATACCCTATCCATTTCTAGATATGTAATATATGTATTATTTTCAATTTTTGAATTCAAATTTAAACGACTGCGCGCTTATCATTTGCGCTTTACAGACACTTTTTGTGCTGCTCTGGTTACTCCAGTACAAAAAGTGCTGTTGTTGCGCACGGCTAGAGAACAAAACAGTAAAAAAGGTATATTGCACGCGCAATCAGGATGACCGTTTAAAGATATTATATATGTACATTTTGGAATATTTTGACGTCGAATATGAGTTCAAGGACTACAATATAGGTCGAAATCGACAATGAAAGTTTAGATGTAACTAAACCGTTAAATATAATTTTTATTACAAGCTTTTTTATGCTATAAGCAGTCCAATAAAAAATTATATTATATTATATTATATTATATTATATTATATTATATTATATTATATTATATTATATTATATTATATTATATTATATTATATTATATTATATTATATTATATTATATTATATTATATTATATTATATTATATTATATTATATTATATTATAGAGAGAGAGACCGGTTAACCCATTTATGAAACTTTAAGAATTTTATCGCAGTGCATATGAAAGATATCGTGGTGTTTTTTTTTATAAGTGGACAAACTTTCGATCGATCGATGTAAAAAAAGTTATTGCAAACAGCACTATTTTACGGGTAAGTTCGTTTTTTGCTCGGTATATTTGCAAAATTACAAGCTGTATTTCTGAGGGTCAATACCACTTATAGTTCCCATACTCGTAAAGAAACCACAACATTCTTTACATAGAGTTACAGCAGCATATGCGCCCCCCCCCCCCCCCCCCCCCCCCCCCCCCCCCCCCCCAGGCCCCCCCCCCCCGCTGGCCCCCCCCCCCCCCCGCACCCCCCCCCCCCCCCGCCCCCCCCTTGTACATATGTATTTTCTTCTTGTTTTTCGTAGAAATTAATAAATTAAAACATTTGGATTTGTGTCTTAAAATAAGTATAAAAAGTACATTTTTTCCTTCATTTAACATATACATTGATATTATTTAAATAAATTTATTTTCCAAAATTTTCCAAAAATGAATATGCCTGACCGAGGGTGTCACAGACTACGCGATTTATCGCTGAGGCCAGCCGCTCTAAGAGATTCGGTAGGGTTTCTTTTTGGGATAACCAAATGTCAGGGGATCGCTCACCCAATTGGTAAGCGGCAAGTTCAGGAATAATGATAGTTCTTTTTGAATCGGATTTTCTTGAGTTCTTCTTTCAAAATAGAGCGATGGAGGGACTCAAGAAAACTTTCCTTGACATCCGTTTCTTCTTTTCTAATTGCGCTCTCCAACTGAGTCCTGAAAGAATTAATGCAAAAATTAATTAATATTCATATATGTATATACTATAAAAGCTATTTAAATTGCTAATACATTTGTTAAGAAAATTAATTCACATATGTATGTATGTATACATATTTATAATATAATACATAATTATAATAAAATTAATAAAGTTGTATTTAAGTTACATACACTTTACATATGTATGCATCATGATGCTTGTTTTTTAATATTTAGTCTTTTTACAGAGTATTCGGAATAATGTCGTTTACCGTTGGCTGTCGAATTAAGTGTGACCGAATATAATAAGTAAAAAAATATCAATATATAGATATTTTGGCAGAGAAATATCACGATATAAATATATTTTTATTTTTAAAAAATATCGATATTATTCGCTCCCAAATCGTGGTGGTTTTTCAAAATTCGCTCTCAATTCGTGGTGGGTTTTTAAAATTTGCTCTCTTTTCAGTGGTGAATAGAGCGTTTTGTGGTGACTTTCCCCTCATATTCGTGGTGTGAGAAACATGTTCTTAACGTTAACGCGTATGGAATGAAGATTCATTGTTGCGTCATTCCATACGCGTTACCGTATGATACATTTGATTTGTATGGGAAAAATTTCAGCAACATGGGGAAATGAAGTAGCAGCATTGTTGTGCAACTTTGGCACGGAATGAGCAACAAGTCTGAATACCTTGGGAAAATAGCTATTATGGACTTTAGATACTGTTTGCAATTTCATGCTCCAATTAATGCAGAAACTAGTCAGTCTCTTTTTTAAAGACATAAACGAAATTTTGTAGCTCACGGGTACAAATAATAGGTATCAGAACCGGGATAAATGTACTTATGTATATATATAAAACAAAACATATGCCTTAATAGGTAAAAAAAACATGTCAATCTAGTATAAAATCATAAATAATGTTTCAATGGAGCTTGGAACAACAAAATTAGCATCAATTAAAAGAAATAAGGTATACAAAAGTACATACGCATAAAAGAAACTTGGTTGACCAGCAACACTGACGTCACATTTAGTCAACATTTACGTTTTATGCTTTGGCCGCTTTTGTTTGAACCTTAATATGGAAACAATTTTATGAAAAATAGTTCTGAAAACTAGCCAATCCTAAACAAAATTCATTGAGGAATTGGATAAAATTATGTTTTTAGGGCTGAAAGGGCCATCTATCTAGTAATATTAAACTGAATATCAAAATTGACGAATTTCATATCACAAAATATCACGGTATGGCAGCCCGCAGCAACTACGAATTGCAGGAGTCTGGTAGCGCCACAAAACGACGACACATTCGTTTTATGTTGTTTTTGTTTGAACCTTAATATGTAAATAATCCAATAAAAAGAACTTCTAAAAACCAGCCAATACTAAACAAAATTCATTGAGGAATTGGATAAAATTATTTGTTTAGGGCTGGGAGTCCCAGCTAGCTAGTAATATTAAACGGAATATCAAAATCGAGAAATATCAACGTTGAATGTTTTGAAAAAACAATCGATACTATCGTGATAGCTCTAATAATTATTAAAAAACCATTGAAACCTTTTAGGAACTTGTCCATTTTAAAAATTAGATGCCACCTGTCGATGATTTGTTTACAAATGTGTCTTCGTATCTTATAGCAGACAATCCAAACGACTGTAGCTCGATACTATCATGATAGTCTCAAAACCATCGATAGTAGAGGCTAGCAGCAAAATATCGATACTATCGATAGTGCCCTCGATGGTTTGACACCTCTACCGCGGGCATTGCAAAATCGCAGCCGACGTAAACAACGCAACTTAGTCGAGTTTTTGTCGACATGGAACAACAAAGAAATAGTGTAATATCTTGCTTCTAAAGAAACGTCCGTTAATATATCCCAAAAAAATTACCGTATATTTAAAAAAATTTATAAATACATTTATCAATATTAAATAAATTTATTAAAAAATATAAATTTGTTAAAGCGCGATATAGTTTGCCGGTCTCGTCGTGTTTATTTTCTTGATAAATTTCCGCGGACCGTTCACGATCGGACGAGCGGTGGATTGTATTTGTCGAATCCAAAACAGTGATAAAACAAAAATTAACAACCATTTCGATTAAAATACTTCAAATTTATAAATGAAAACATTTTCGGCCAACAACCTTTTGAAAGTCGAAATTTTAAAACTGTGTTCTTGTTGTTTTTTGGACTCCACGGGCCGGACCTAAATTTTGAGAAGAGATCAACGCAATTTGTTGCTCTCATCTCGTTCGTCGGTAATAAATGTGTGCGTGCGGCGGCGGACCCGACTAAGATTCTTAGATACCCGTTTCAGTCTCTGGAAGAAATCAAATGTAAGTACCCGCAGCCCATGAGCAGGTATAGGTATGAGCATCACCTGTGTCTCTCTTCTTGTTTGCCTTCATCGGCGTTTCTGTTGACTTGCACTTATCGCGGATTTTTGTTGTCCATAAAATAGGTTTGCTATAAGGTATGTAGGTGCAACCAGGCAATCGATAAGAAAAGACGGAAGTCGCACGGGGACCGTGGACGTGACCATGAATCCAATTGCACGGGTGAAGAGGGGCGCAGTCGCAACTGCTCTCCCTCTTTCTCGCTCTCTCTCTGTCACCCCCTCAAAGCAATCCACCACCATTTCCCTCAGCTGTCCCGCACCCCCACAGACACACAGAGCAACGATTCTATTTATAGAAAGAGTCGAGGGCATGTCAACGTTTGTTTGTCTCTAAAAACAAACCCCAAGATAGATTTGTGTCCCGACCATTTTAATTAAGTGCGGAAATGAGCAAACGTTTTCTTCCAGCGGAGCGGAGGAGACGACACAAGTGTCATTCTCCCCAAGCACCAATCATCGGTCGTCCCACCATTCCATTCCAGACACATTTCGTTTATTTATGTTCCTTGGAAATCATCGAAAAGGCGTCATGGCGTCGTCGTCGCTCCTTCAGGCAACGGCGCATGCGTGTCCATGTCCACTCAGTTCTTGGGCGAAACGTGCCCATCCGATTCTGGGCATTTTAAAGCCAATTAAACGGGTTCAAGTATACCCTTTCGCTGTGAGAGGGTATATCACATTTAAGGCAAAATCAAAATTTCAAAAGCTGAAATATTTTTCTAAAAAACATAAATACATAATTAATATCGCTCTGATTTACCCCCAATCGATCCCCTGTTTTTGCTCCTTTACAGGGCATTCAGTGTTCGACTTGTATCTGTGTTCTGGGTATACGTTCCCTTTCTGTATACCAGCGCAAAGGTTGCATTTGCTTTGTTGTTGTCGCTATTGTTGCTGTCACTCAAACCCCCGACCAAACCCCTCCCCACTGTTCCGACCACCCGCCCTCGTTGCCGAAACAAGACTCAACACGCGCCACACCACACCGCAGCGCCCAGCTGACAGGAACCACTGATCACCTCTCCTCTCCCGTTGGTCCATTGTGGCACCGACGGACAGCTGCTCCCTTCAAAGTTCGAACAGCCCCAGGAACAAAGGAATTGGTCGAAGAAATCCCTTTGCAAAATGTGTAAGCCCAC